CCAGACTCAGCACCCCCAGGCTCAGCACCCCCAGTCGTAGTACCCTCAGGCTCAGCACCCCCAGGCGTAGCACCCACACGCTCAGCACCCCCAGAGTCAGCACTCCCAGGCTCAGCACCCTCAGCAGCACCAGAGTCACCAGCGACCTCGACAGGCTCAACAGCGTCTACCTGGGACACACATGAAGGGGCAGGACCCTGAGGGGGGAGGGGGTCTACCGGGGGGGGACCTGGTACAAGGAAGAGCGGTGGCGGGGGGAGGGACGGAGTGCGGTAGGGGAAGAGGCGGTAGTAGGGGACCGACTCGTCGAACGTGACGTCCTGGGAGGACAGAACACGGCGAGAGGTGGGGTGGTAGAACTGCCACCCGGGGGCGTCAGGGGGGAAACCCAGGAAGACGCAAGGAGCAGCACGAGGGGACAGCTTGTCCGCAGACAAGTTGCGGACAAACGCCCGAGATCCCCAGACACGGAACGCAGACGCATCGCCAACCTTCCCCGTCCACAGTAAAGCTGGGGAGGTCTCCGGCATGGAGACCCTGGGCTGAAGGTTGATCTGATGCGTTGCGTACCGAACCGCAAACGGCCACAGAAAATGGGGGGCAGCCGCATGCATCATGGACGTACGGGCGACGTCCATGACCATGCCAATGCGGCGCTCAGCAATCCCATTTTGCTGTGGAGAGTCCGGAAGCGTGAAGGTCTGGCGGATGCCTCGTGCACGACAGTAGGCTCGCAGAAGGCCAGAGGAGAACTCTCCGCCTCTGTCAGAGTGCAGACGCAGAACAGGAAAGTCCGAGCCGAAGCTCCGCCTGAGTTGGAGACGAGCTGCGCGGATCCAGTCGATCAACACCTCAGTGACATCACCCTTGCTGCGCAAGGGGAAGACTGTGGTGTAACGCGAGTAGTCGTCAACCACCAGCAGGAAGTAGCGCTCGTGACCCTGTCCACGGACGCGGGCCGGGCCCCACACGTCCATGTGAAGTGTCTGCAGCGGGGCCTCTGTCGGAGGAAACTGGGAGGAGTGAGGGGCAGCCCGCTGCCGCCCCTCGACACAGGAGACGCAGGTAGGGCCAGGCCCCGGAGGAAGGGGAGGGAGGGACCGGGGAAGACCAGAGACAAGGACACGGGAGGCCATGCTCCGGAGACGAAGCAGGGAGGGGTGACCAAGGCGGTGGTGCCAGAGGAGAGTCTCGTGAGACAGGAGGCGACACGAACAGGGGGCAGACTCAGGACCAGACCTGGACGCTGCAGCAAACACCTGACCCGACGCAGCTACCTGACCAGACGCAGTGACTGGAGGAGACGCAGTGGTCAGGGTGTACAGGCTCGACCCCGGCCGACGGGTAAACGTGGCCAGGTGTCGGCCTGTCCGAGCGTCCGTGCAGTGGGTCACCCGCTGACTCGCAGGAGTGAACTGGTGAACCCCCGCATCCTGTAGGTCAGCACCACTCACCAAGTTCGTAGAGAACGAGGGAAGGTAAAGACCAGACAGGGTGCCAGAGGGGGCCGCCGGACACGGGAGGACAGTGGAGAAGTGAGCAAGGACAGGACCCCCAGAGGGGTCTGCCAGAGAGACTGCAACTGGCCGGTCAAGCGGCGTGAGTGTGGTGCGGTCTCGAAAGAAGGAGCGAGAAGCCCCCGAGTCAAGGGTGAAGGTGTGGGAGGCCGAAGCCGACGCAGAACCTGAGAGAGCAGACTCACCAGCACCTGAGGGAGCAGACGCACCTAGAGCAGCAGCCTCGCTAGCACCTAGAGCAGCAGCCTCACCCGTACCTAGAGCAGCAGTCTCAATGCCCGGGTCGGGCGGAAAACACCGGTAACAGTCACCCTCATCACTAATAGTCACAGTATACATGGCAGCAAGAATAGCATCAAAGTCAAGGTCAAAGACAGCTACACCCGCCCTAGACAGCTCACCCCAGCGGGGGATCTCAGTGGCCTCAGGGAACTGGTGACGCCAAGCGTCCGTCAGGCGGCCAAAGCAGCGCTGGGTGGAGTGCGCACCCCCGCACTGCTCACCCGCGCGGTCGCCGGTGCGTAGGACGTAGGTGCACGGGCCAGTACCCCCACCCCTCTGGCGTGCAGTGTACCACTCACGGAGCTGCTGAGGGGAGGGGATGTCACGAGTGCGCTGCTGCTGCTGCTGCTGCTGCTGGCGCTGACCACCACCGGAGCCGCCCCTCTGTGCAGCGCCACCCCGACCAGCTCCACCTCCTCCGCCGCCTCCTCCTCCACCGCCGCCACCTCCGCTCCCACCGCCACCGCCACCGCCGCCTCCGCCTCCACTGCCGCCACCGACACCTCCGCCCCCGCCACCACTCCCACCACCACCCCCACCCCCTCCACCGCCTCCACCGCCACCTCCACCGCCCCCGCCAGCTCCTCCAGTGCCCCTGCCCCCCTTGCCCTTGCCAGGGCGACGTCTCCCGCTAGGGGTAGACGCCGCACCGACCGACTCAAGCCCAACGAGGTCGGCCGCAGCAGCAGAGGCAACAGAGGGCAAAAGGGGGGAGGGGGAACACCCCTCAAAGATGGGGGTGCGAGGGTCACCACGAGAGGCTCCTACAGCGACTATGCTCTTCTCTGCTGCTAGGAGGGACTTCTCGAGGAGGTCAACGGTGAGAGTGGTGGGGCAAACGGAGAGGAAGTGGTCCCTGACTACGCGAAGGGAGTCAGGGAGCCGGGTGACTATGTAGTAGAGGGTGATGTACATGGGGGGGGGGTTCTTGGCGCAGAACTCAGCAGGAAGCGCAGCGCGGTAGCGAGTGTCACTAGTGCGGAGGTGCGTAATGAGGTCAGCGACTGTGGGAAAGGCAGCAAGGTCAGGGAAGAGGTACGGTAGCATGAGGCGGCTCAGTGCAGCAGTGGCAGGGGAGGAGTAGCGCGCAACTACAGCGTCGTACAAGGTCTGAGCACTCTTGTACTGGCTAAAGTGCGCACGCTCAGAGGTAGGCAGGTGGCGACGCACAGCAAGACGTGCAGCAGCATCGCGAGTTGCCCACTGTGAGCAAACAGTGGCGTCGGCATCAGCAGCAGGGGCAGGAGAGGCACCAGAGGTGAGGTCAAAGAGGGAGAGACCGTCTGCCCTATCGCACTGTAGGAAAAGCTGCAGGTCATCTACCCAGACGTCAAAGTCAATGGCCCGACCCTCAGCGTCAAAGGCGAGGACACTAGGGGTAGCCATGACAGCAGTAGACTAGCAGCGCAAACAGTAGGGTGAGGGCAGTGCAGGGACAGAGGCGCTGCACTTACCGGACAGGGCGACTCGGGTGGCTCAGCTGCTCGGCGGCTCGGCAACTCGGCGGCTCGGGCGGCTCGGGCGGCTCGGCTGTACGGCGGCTCGGCAGCAAGCGCGGCTCGGCGACACGGCGGCTCGGGCGGCTCGGGCGGTACGGCGGCTCGGGCGGTACGGCGGCTCGGCAGGCCCGGGCGGCTCAGGTGGCGCGGCGAGGCCGCGTAAGGAGCGGCGGCGGGGCCGAGTGGAGCGGCGTCGGCGGGTGCAGTCAGCTGCGGCAGCAGCCGCGGCCCCGAGGGAGGTGGTGGCGGCTGCTGCTGGCGACGGCTGCGGCTGCTGCTGCAGGGACGGCGGCGGCCGATGCGGTAGGGGCGGCGACAGTGGGCCGGAGAGGGCGGTGCGAGGGGCCGCGTCGCGAGGAGCCGCGGAGGGCGGCGACGGGCCGTGAAGGGGCGGCGCGAGGGGCCGCGGAGGGCGGCGACGGGCCGTGAAGGGGCGGCGCGAGGGGCCGCGGAGGGCGGCGACGGGCCGTAGGGGGGGGGGCCGTGAGGGGCCGCGGGAGGGGCCGTAAGGGACGGCGCGAGGGGCCGTAAGGGGCCGTAAGGGGCCGCTGAGGGCGGTGCGAGGGGCCGACGGGCGGCGCGAGGGGCCGTAAGGGGCCGCGCGAGGGGCCGTAAGGGGCCGTAAGGGGCCGACGGGCGGCGCGAGGGGCCGTAAGGGGCCGTAAGGGGCCGTAAGGGGCCGCGCGAGGGGCCATAAGGGGCCGTAAGGGGCCGACGGGCGGCACGAGGGGCCACGCTAGGAGCCGTAAGGGGCCGTAAGGGGCCGACGGGCCGCGCTAGGGGCCGTAAGGGGCCGTAAGGGGCCGCGCTAGGGGCCGTAAGGGACGGCGCGAGGGGCCGTAAGGGGCCGCTAAGGGCGACGCGAGGGGCCGTGAGGGGTCGTGAGAGGGCGCGACTGTGGGAGCGAAGCGCGCTCCGGGCAGGAAAAAAAAAATTCGTGGTGGGCCCTAGGAAGCGTTCCCACTAGGGAACCTGCTCGATACCATGAGAAGAAACAAGGAATGAATGAACTATGAATGAATTGGGTACAAGTACTAACCCTAATTGGGTTGTACCCCTTATGGGCTACCCCACTATAGCCTACACAATATGCATGAGCTATAATGTTCTGACATAAATCTCGCCCATGTAAATCTCGCCCATGTAAATCTCGCCCATGTAAATCTCGCCCATGTAAATCTCGCCCATGTAAATCTCGCCCATGTAAATCTCGCCCATGTAAATCTCGCCCATGTAAATCTCGCCCATGTAAATCTCGCCCATGTAAATCTCGCCCATGTAAATCTCGCCCATGTAAATCTCGCCCATGTAAATCTCGCCCATGTAAATCTCGCCCATGTAAATCTCGCCCATGTAAATCTCGCCCATGTAAATCTCGCCCATGTAAATCTCGCCCATGTAAATCTCGCCCATGTAAATCTCGCCCATGTAAATCTCGCCCATGTAAATCTCGCCCATGTAAATCTCGCCCATGTAAATCTCGCCCATGTAAATCTCGCCCATGTAAATCTCGCCCATGTAAATCTCGCCCATGTAAATCTCGCCCATGTAAATCTCGCCCATGTAAATCTCGCCCATGTAAATCTCGCCCATGTAAATCTCGCCCATGTAAATCTCGCCCATGTAAATCTCGCCCATGTAAATCTCGCCCATATTCATCCCCCCCATGTTGTCTCTCCGTGTACCAGGTCCTACCAGGCACATGGGCGGCACATGTTGAGGCGCTTTTACAGAGGGTAGAGCCACGTGTAAAGGCTTTTCAAAAGGCGGGACCCTGCTGACTCTCTCTCATATACCCATCTTCGAGTCGACTCATAAATACTCTCTCGTTGACCCATTTTTTAGTCGACTCAAAAATGCTCTCTCTCATAGACCTTCATTCCACACTTGCTGCCAACTCAGCAACCCTTCAATCTCTTCTCTGAAGCGGCCCTCCTCCCGCCTCCCCCCCCTCTCCTTCTCCCCATGCGTTCACACTGCTTGCCGTTGCAGCACCCTGATCAGCTTGCAGTTTCTCCTCCTCTCTTTCGAAGGCATCTCACCGACACAAATTTCAGCCTTCCCCTTCATGTCTTCCGTCCCCTCCCCACCCTTTGTGCAACCCTCCCTCAACCTCCCCTGCCCCCCATCCCTCCCCCCCCCTCCTTATCAGCCGTGTCCCTCTCTCTGCCGTCCCCCACCCCTCTGCCGTTTCCCCCTATCCCCCCCCCCCCCCCACCTCCCGGGCCCCCTTATCTGCCGTCCCCCACCCCTCTGCCATTCCCCCCTATTTCCCGCCCCCCCCATCCCCCGGCCCCCCCTTATCTGCCGTCCCCCCCCTCTGGTAGCACCCCTAGCAGCACCACCAAGAAAGTAAGGCTGCTCTTATCACGTGGCTTTTCCACCTCCTCTTCACCAGTGCGGCCCACCCAGCACAGCTTTCAGCCTTCCCCTTTTCTGTACTACCCCCCCCCCCCTCTTCTTTCCCCCACCCCTGTCTGCCCCCACATTGGCGGCACCCCTAGCAGCACCACCGAGAAAGTAAGGCCGCTCTTCCACCTCCTCTTCACCAGTGCGGCCCACCCAACACAGGATAATAGTGGTGTTCTGAGGCGTCTCAAAACATCACTTGTATCACGTGGCTCGTCCACCTCCTCTTCACCAGTGCGGCCCACCCAACACAGGATAATAGTGGTGTTCTGAGACGTCTCAAAACATCACTTGTATCACGTGGCTCGTCCACCTCCTCTTCACCAGTGCGGCCCACCCAACACAGGATAATAGTGGTGTTCTGAGACGTCTCAAAACATCACTTGTATCACGTGGCTCGTCCACCTCCTCTTCACCAGTGCGGCCCACCCAACACAGGATAATAGTGGTGTTCTGAGACGTCTCAAAACATCACTTGTATCACGTGGCTCGTCCACCTCCTCTTCACCAGTGCGGCCCACCCAACACAGGATAATAGTGGTGTTCTGAGACGTCTCAAAACATCACTTGTATCACGTGGCTTGTCCACCTCCTCTTCACCAGTGTCGCCCACCCAACGCAACTTTCAGCCTTCATCATTTCCCCTTCACCTCTCCCCCTACCGCCACCCTTTTCTGCCTGCCGCGGCCCCCCCTCCCCCTCCCCCCTGTCTGCCCCCGCACATGGCAGCAACACTGCCGCCAAGATAGTAAGGCTGCTCTTTCACCTCGTCTTCACCAAGTTTGGCCCGGCCGACACAAAGCTCAGCCTTCCCCTTTTCTGTACTACCCCCTCCCTCCTGGCAGCACCGCTAGCAGCACCACCAAGATAGTAAGGCTGCTCTTTCACCTCGTCTTCACCAAGTCTGGCCCGGCCGACACAAAGCTCAGCCTTCCCCTTTTCTGTACTACCCCCTCCCTCCTGGCAGCACCGCCACCAATACAGTAAGGCTGCTCTTTCACCTCGTCTTCACCAAGTTTGGCCCAGCCGACACGCCTGTAGTCCTGACTGCTTATCTCCCCGACATTTCCTCTGAAAATCTGACCTTCAAGTGCCTGCTCACCTCTCCGATCAAGGGCGTGTTCGCATGTAAAGCGACGGTGGAATATGATAGCACAGCCGTCCTGGCTGCTGTCGGGAAGTTGAGGTTGTTTGATGCTTTGGGGACAGTGGTTAGCACGAGCGTGAATCTCACCCCAAGGTTCAATCTCACCATAAATGGCCAGAATGAACCCGTCTATTATGGCTCGCTGTAGTGGTAAGGTAAGGTGGGTATCGGGGGATAACTTTTCTAGTGCTACATCTCTCTGTGTGTTAGTGTGTTGTGTGTTGGGGGGGGGGGGGGGGGGGGGGGGGGGGAACAGGGGAAGGGAAGGGTGCGGGTGTGTTCTCTTTGTGCTAGTAAGGGCGTGGGTGCAGTGGGAGAGAAGCACTTCTAGTCCATGAGCAGGATGTTGTAGGACAGTGTCCATGATATGGGTTAGCTTGGTTGTGCCGTACTGTACAATATTCATGAATAAAACATTCGGGATATTTGGGATATAGACACACCTTGACCCTCCACTGGTGCAGTGGAAGAGAAGCATTCCTGGAGCAAGGACAGGAATTTTGGTACTTCTGGGATGCACAAAGATCCCTACAGCTGCATATACTTCTGAGAAGAACTTTTACTCCCTACAACTGCCATTTACCTATTTTGTAATGGGACCTGAAGCATTTACATTTTGTCCATATTTATTGTTTGAAACATGTTTTCGTCACCCTGTCGCTGAGAATATCGAGTAGGCATCAGACGCAGCGTCGCGTCCTCCATGCATGTGATGGTGCGGGAGGAAGTCAGCAACGGAACTTACCATGGCGAGTTGTCGCTCGTTCGCACGAGCCGCCGTTAGAGGCGGCGTTTTCGTAGGGCGTCTCTCGCGCTGCGGCCATGCTAGCATGCAGCGTACACGAAGTGCAAATTCTCGTCAATTCAGGGTGTTTGGCGAGATTTACCGCACGAGAATGCTAGTGCGACGATCTACTTGCGGTTACCGCAGGTCCGCCTGTCATGAGGATCTTGCTACATCGTCCCGACGATGCATGGTAACGGCTCTGTTCGACATTCCTTGGAACGCCGTCAATTCGAGCACGAAGTTCTTCCCCTTGTCTACGTATATTCCTCCGGACCAATGTTCCTCTTAGCTCCAGTACGGACAATTTCTTGCAGCGTAGCGTTCCGGCTCGTCGTTTCTGCACGCTGTTTCTGCTTCACGTGTCCGTTTTTCCCTTCCGTAAGCTTGTCTGCTCCAGACAATCACAGCGTCATGACGAGTGCGAGCGACGAGGCAGCTATAGGCATCGATTTAGGCACAATCTACAGCTGCGTGGGCGTGTGGCAGCATGACCGGGTTGAGATTATAGCGAATGAACATGGCAACCGCACCACGCCCTCGTTTTTAGCATTCACTGACGCGGAGAGGCTGATTGGCGACGCTGCCAAGAACCAGATCGCCTTGAATCCTACCAATACCGTATTCGGTACGTCTGGTGGTTTGGTCGATCGGGGTCGGAATTTATATATAGGTTCATTACTGTTATTATATGTAGTGATGCTCTGTGCTAAGTACCTCGTTGAGTGTTTCAGAAGTTATCACCCAAAGAGCCTCTGTCTAAGAGCGAGGTTCAGCTTTCAGGCATATCTGTAAACTCCATGCATTTCGTGAGACTTTCAGAGCAGCTTTTCTTGCATGATCCAGTTCTTATCTTATGTTTTCCAAGCATTCTTTTTGTTTACCCTTTCCATGCTTACCCCAACCCTTCCCTCCTTCCACCCTTGTTTTCTCTGTTCTTTTCTCTACCAATTTCTCATCCCTACCATCCTCCTTTTGAATCAGAAGGCACGAGTCTGATTGGGTATGCTGACATGAGGGCACTCTCCTCCTCTATTGTGTGTCTCTCCCTTTCTCCCCCGTCACTCTCTATCTCTTTACCCCCCACCTCCCCCCTCGCTCTCCCACTCCCACTTTCCCTTTATTCCTGCTGTTCATGCCAAACGAATCGGTCTGCGTTTTTTGGACCTTGGCATCCAAGCAGCATGAAACACTCACGTTGCAAGGCCTTCTCTGACCCTCTGCAAATCAAGCCCATGATTAAGGAATAGAACAAGGGAAGAGAGAGAGAACAGACACTACAGACTAAGTTACCTCTGCCCCCTCATTTCTTCCTCTTTCTCTCCCCACAACCCCTTCCCTCCCTCCCCTCCCTCACCCCCTTTTCTCCCCCTCCCTTTTACCTCCCTCTTCCGTTTCAGATGTCAAGCGGCTAATCGGGCGGCGTTTTTCGGACCCTACTGTTCAGGCTGACATGAAGCACTGGCCATTCACAGTGTTTTCTGGCCCTGGGGACAAACCAATGATAGAAGTCCAATACAAGGGGGAGTGCAAGCACTTATTTCCAGAGGTAGTTTCCTCGATGGTTCTAGCCAAAGTGAAGAGAACAGCAGAGGCGTTTCTTGGGAAGAAGGTTAAAAACGCCGTGGTTACGGTCCCTGCATATTTTAATGATTCACAGAGGAAGGCCACTAAGGACGCGGCCGTTATAGCGGGTCTGAATGTATTGAGGATAATCAACGAGCCTACAGCAGCGGCGATCGCGTACGGATTGGATAAGAAGGGGATCTGGTGTGGAGAGAGAAACGTGGTGATATTCGATATGGGCGGCGGAACGTTTGACGTGTCGCTATTGACGGTTGAGGAGGGGATATTCGAGGTCAAGGCTACAGCGGGGCATACTCATTTGGGAGGGGAGGATTTTGACAACCGGCTGGTCGATTTCTTCCTGCGGGTGAGGCTTGATAAGAGGATTTGAGGCTTGAAACAATGAACACTGTCTCACGCCCCGTCATGCGTGTGAAGTTGGGGATCTCTCTATCCCCGTCCTTCTCTCTCATCTCTCACTTCCCCTGCCGTTTACCCTTCTCTCCCATTCCTCCGCTGCCTTGCTGTTTGCAGGAGTTCAAGCGCAAGCACAAGGAGGACATCAGCAGCAACCCCCATGCTATCAGCCGCCTAAAACTGGCCTGCGAGAGGGCCAAGCGCACTCTTTCCTTTACTACGCAAACGACCATCGAAATCGACTCCCTGCATGAGGGGATCGACCTTTACAGCACAATTACGCGGGCACGTAATGAGGAGCTCAACGCAGATCTGCTGAGGCAGGTGTGGCTGGTTTGTGAGGGGTGTGGGGTGTGTTGTGTTATTGTGTGGTGTGTGTCTCTACGAGGCAATCGAATTTCATAGCACCATCATCGGGCGCAGTTTAAGGAGCTCAGCGCGGATCTCCTCAGACAGGTGGGGATGGGTTGTGAGTGGTGTGGGATGTGTTGTGTGGTTGTGTGTGCGTGTGTGTGTGCGTCTACGAGGCCGCCAATTTCTACAACACCATCTCCAGGGCGGGAGCGCAATGCGGATCACCTTAGACAGGTGGGGTTGGGTTGTAAGCGGTTTGGGGTTGTTTGTGTGGTTGTGTGTGTGTGTGCCTCTACAAGGGGGCACCATCACTCGGGCTCGCTTTGAGGGGCTCAACCAAGCCCCCCTCAGGCAGGTGGGTGCCGTAGTGGCCTCCCACCTTGCTCGCAATTAATATACGTTGAGGAACTGAACCTGGACATTTCTCTCTCCTTCTTTTTCTCTACCTACTCCGTGTTCTCCATCCTTCCACCCACCAGAGCATAGAGCCTGTCGAGAAGTGCCTCAAAGATGCGAAAATCGACAAGGGGGCGATTCACGACGTTGTTCTGGTTGGCGGTTCCACCCACATCCCCAAAGTGCAGCAGCTCTTGCAAGATTATTTCAACGGAAAGAATCTCTGCAAGAGCATCAACCCCGAAGAGGCTGTGGCTTATGGTGCCGCTGTTCAAGCTGCGATTTTTACAGGGCAAGAGGGCAAAGAGTTGGAAGATATTCTTCTGCTGGATGTGAATCCGATTTCACTCGGAGTGGAGACGGTTGGAGGGGTGATGACGGTGATAATACCCCGAAACGCCACAATCCCGACGAAAAAAGAGCAAGTATTTTCGACGTTTTCGGATGATCAGACGTCTGTGAGAATCCAGGTGTACGAGGGAGAACGAGCAATTACTAGGAACAACTACCTGCTTGGAGAGCTTGAGCTTTCAGGGATCCCGGCTGCACCACGCGGGGTTCCTCAAATCACCGTCTTGTTCGATCTTGATGCGAACGGGATTTTGAAGGTCAGCGCGGAAGATAAGACGACAAGTACCAAGAGAATCACAATCACGATTGAGAGCGGGAGACTAACCAAGGAGGAGATAGAGCAGCTGATGCAGGAGGCAGAGAGGCACGAAGAGGAGGATGAGCAGAGAGAGGAGGCACATAGGGGGTTGACCGTCTTGCCATGAAGGTCTGCTGAGGATGATGGTATAGCCGTTGTAACTGTAGACCTCAAGTGTGGCTTAAAGTTGGCCCTCAAACTGAAAAAAACCTCAATTCTGAACATGGGCATATCTCACCATATATGAAACTACAATAGAACCCCAAACCTGATATTTGGGCTCTGCATGCCACCTCAAATGGCTGAAATAAGATGTTGATGGTTGAATAAACAAATGTACGATAGCGGTCTACCCAATGGCGGGTTAATTTTCTGCGTCTCAATCCAACCGAATTTACGAACCTGGTCGGGGCAAGGAAATCCGACAGTGTGGGCTGGTGTTTCACCGCGATTGGGGGATCAGGTTGCTCTCGGGCTTGGCCGATGGGGTTCCTCCTTCCTGCCCGAACTGGAAGCTGGGAGCATTCCTGGGGGCTTGGCTCCACGTCAGCAGCGAATCCGCCTTCGCGAATGGCATCTCTCGTGGTGGCTGCCGTCACCCATTCTCAATGACCACGTCATGCATTCAAGCTGTGATTATGCGGGGAGTGTGCGTTACGTTCGAGACGGAGTTGATTTCATTAGCAAAGAGCTGGTTTTGCAATCCCTTCGGACGCTAATTCGCGGTACCTGAAAGAAATGCTGCAATTATCATTTGTGGTGGATTGAAGGATCGAGTTTGTGGCGTTTCCGCTCTGTAACGAGGCGGAAATTTGAACATGTAAACAGGTCTCACAACCCAGAACTTTGCGTGAGAGTGCACTGGCCTGGACCCCATCCCTTCAAAACACAGTCACCACCCTCGTAAATTCTTCCCACGCTTCAATACCCCTTTAGGAGACTCTACGGCCTATCACTGGCACGTTCGTGAACAGCCGTTCACGACTTCGGCTTTGAAAAAAAACACTCGTTCGAAGCCCCTCCTGTTCACACGTGCCAGTCAGACGCCATGGCCCTCTCCCTGTGCGCGAAGACGAGCCTCGTCTCGGCCGCGGGCCTGCAGCAGCGCAGCGCTGCCCAGGAGAGAAGGCAGACCGGCGCCTCGCTCTCAGCGTCGCTCGCCCACTCAGCCGCTGCTCCTTCGTTCAAGGCCTTCGATGGCATGCGCGCTAACTCCGCCTCCTCCTCCTCCTCCTCCTTCCTGTCCGGCGCTAAGATCGCTGCGCCTGTGGCCACGGAGGGCTCTGCTGCTGCCGCTGCTGAGAAGGGTTTCACCCTGACCATTGTGGCGGGCAGGAACAGCAAGAAGATTCAAGGAAGGAAGCTCCGCGTCGCCGGTGAGTAACGACCACTCGTAGCCTTCTTTTCTTGAGCTATGAATACCAGCCAATGGGCTCTGGCTCTAGAATGCCCTGGATGCTGTCCTTGTGTGCACATTCCCGTGAATTCCACATTATACTCCACCAGAATTGCTAGCGTACCGAAACCACTAGTTTCCATAGCCTGCTCTTGAGCAACCACGATTCTCATATGCATTACCTCATCCGCATTCCACAATGCCTATTATCCTCATAACGCCAACTATCAACTGAACCATTTCCGTCTTTCTCCCAGTTATCGGAGGCGGCCCGGCCGGTGGGTGCGCGGCGGAGACGCTGGCGGAGAACGGCATCGAGACGTTCCTCATCGAGCGCAAGCTCGACAACGCCAAGCCCTGCGGTGGCGCCATCCCCCTCTGCATGGTCGACGAATTCCAGGTAACCCCCTTTTCGCTTGCTTTCGTGTGGAGTTTTGAATGGATGTAGGTGCCTGACCTCCGTGTTATGTTTTTTCAGAGTCTTCGAATCACGGCTTGATCTGGCACATTCTAAGATAAGGATGGTTATTACAGCAACCAGATGAAGGTGACCAAGATGAAGGCGATCTCGCCCTCTAGCCTCGAGCGGTTTCCTCACATCTCTTCTCAACCTTTCCATCCTTCCTTCCTCCCTGCAGCTGCCTCAGGAGATCGTCGACAGGCGTGTGACCAAGATGAAGATGATCTCGCCCTCCAACGTCAAGATGTTTGACTTATGAATCTTATTCCTTTGACCACTCTTGATTCCTGCTTGTTCCCTGCAGCTGCCCCAGGAGATCATCCGACAGGCGCGTGACCAAGATGAAGGTGATCTCCCCCTCCAACGTCGAGGTCGACGTGGGGCGCACGCTCGGCAAGGAGGAGTACATCGGCATGGTGCGCCGCGAGGTGCTCGACGCCTTCCTGCGCCTCACCAATCCCTCTCCCCTTTTTCCTCCCTCTCTCGTTCCCACTCTTTCTCTCCCTTTTCCCTCTCTTTTTTCCTTTCTTTGTGGGATTTCCGCCGTGCAGCTTCCCCAGGAGATCATCGACAGGCGCGTGACCAAGATGAAGATGATTTCCCCTTCCAACGTGGAGGTGGACGTCGGCCGCACGCTCGGCAAGGAGGAGTACATCGGCATGGTGCGCCGCGAGGTGCTCGACGCCTTCCTGCGCAACCGCGCGCAGTCGTACGGCGCAACGGTCATCAACGGGCTGTACCTGAGGATGGACATGCCCAAGGATGACGACAGCCCCTACGTCATCCACTACTCCGACTACGCCGGCGACTCCAAGGTTCGTGCGTGAGCAATCGTAATCGCGCGGCGTCGCACACTAGTCTTCAAATAGTATAAAGGTGGACGGGCGTGCGCAAGGTGTTTTTGGTTGAGTCTCGAAAACGCTGCATGGCGCTGGAGGTGGATGCCGTGATCAGCCTGACAAAGGTCGTTTGATCACGGCATCGAGGTGGATGGTCGTTCGTTGCTTGCTGATTGACTGTTTGCATATCTGTGCGTTCTCACGTGCGTTTGCTGCTCTGTTTTGCTGCTGCTTCTGCTCACTTCAGGTCGGCGTGCCCAAGACTCTGGAGGTGGACGCCATCATCGGCGCTGACGGCGCCAACAGCAGGGTGGCCAAGGACATCGACGCGGGCGACTACGACTACGCCATTGCCTTCCAGGTGAGGAGCTCGCGTGAGCTCGCTTTGTGGTTTGACTTCCGCAGTTGTTTGGCGCCTTGGCGGTCTCGTCAAGAGCCAACAGCAGGGTGGCCAAGGACATCGACGCGGGCGACTACGACTACGCCATCGCCTTCCAGGTGAGACGCACGCTTCAGTCGTGGTGTATCTGTGTCCTTTAAAGGTGTTTGAGGTGCCCCGAAAGCCGCCAGCATGTGTGAACACGCTGGACAGAGGCATGTGTAAAATTTATGAGTTCTTAGTCGGTTTTCTTCTTCTACTTTCTTTCTTTTCTTTTCTTTTCACCACAGGAGCGCATCCGCCTCCCCGAGGACAAGATGGCGTACTACGAGGATCTCGCGGAGATGTACGTCGGTGACGACTTGCCCAATGACTCACTCTACCCTACTTACACTCCCTGTCTCTTGCGCCCTTGTTTCTCCTGCAGGAGCGTATCCGTCTGCCCGAGGACAAGATGGCATACTACGAGGATCTCGCGGAGATGTACGTGGGCGATGACGTGTCGCCCGACTTCTATGGATGGGTGTTCCCCAAGTGCGACCACGTGGCTGTCGGCACCGGCACCGTCATCAACAAGCCCGCCATCAAGCAATACCAGACCGCCACCAGGTGCGTGCGTGAAAGATGTGCGCCGTTTCTCTTGTAGGTGCTGGTTTGTGAGGTGGTTTTTGAGGTATTTTCCAGTCGAAACTGAAGGCATTTTTGCATCCGGCACCCGGTGCGGTCATCAACAAGCCCGCCATCAAGCAATGCCAGACCGCCACCAGGTGCGCTTTGAGTCCGACGTTTCATTACCAGCACGGCTCCTCACCCCCTCTCTCGAGTGTCTTTGCATTACAAGTGTGAACACCCCACTAGTACGTCAATCTTTGAGGCCGCGGCACGACTATCTGTGCACAGGCACACCCCATCCCCGAGCACCCCTTCCCCCCCACCGTGCTAGTTAGTCTCTGAGGCATCTCACGTCCTTCCTGCTCCTCTCGCCCTGCTTGCCCTCGTCTCTGCCCCTCAGGAACCGCGCCAATGACAAAATCGAGGGTGGCAAGATCGTACATGTGGAGGCTCACCCCATCCCCAACTCGAGTACCCCCGCCCTTGCCAGTCACTCATTGCAGCATCTCACATCCTGTCCTTCCCACCCTGCTTTGCCTCTGCCCCTCAGGAACCGCGCCAAGGACAAAATCGAGGGAGGCAAGATCATCCGTGTGGAGGCTCACCCCATCCCCGAGCACCCCCGCCCCCGCCGGACTTCCAACCGCGTCGCCCTTGTTGGTGATGCTGCTGGCTACGTCACCAAGTGCTCAGGCGAGGTTCGTTGCTTCTGCTGAATGGCGTGGGTGTGTGTAGTGCCAAGGCCTTGGGTTCGCATTCCGGTTCCACACTCTCCTTCAACCCTCCTCCCACCCTGTTAACCTCCAACCGCGTGGTGCTCGTTGGCGATGCTGCTGGCTATGTCACCAAGTGCTCAGGTGGTGGTGGTGGCTGGTGGGATCTGTCAGGCAACCTGGTTCTTCCACGCTCCCTCCTCCACCCTGCGTGCCATAGGCGTCTATCCAGGGAATTCAAAGTCACACCTGGGACAATCCTTGTCTCGTTTCTGGTGTGTTTTGCATCCTGTTCTTCCACCATACCATACCTCGAGGGATTGCTTTACACTCCTCTCCACCTCCCATTACACCACTCTCCACCCCCCAGGGTATCTACTTTGCGGCCAAGTCAGGCCGCATGGCAGCAGTGCCGATCGCAGAGGGGTCTGAGAAGGGCACGCGCATGGTGAACGAGACGCCAAGGCCCCTTGTTGCACCCATCCCATCCTTGTCAACTGTGCCCCACCTTGTGCTAACCCTTCGCACCGCTCTCCACACCACTCTCCTCCCCCCCCAGGGCATCTACTTTGCGGCCAAGTCTGGGCGCATGGCAGCGGAGGCGATCGCAGAGGGATCTGAGAAGGGCACTCGCATGGTGGACGAATCTGACCTGCGCGTGTACCTGGACAAGTGGGACAAGAAGTACTGGGCCACCTACAAGGTAGAGGATTTTATTTGATTTGCTTGAGATCGTCGGTCCTTCATGCTCTTTTCATCTAGAAGCAGCCTGGTAGGTCTGCATCCTGTCATGGTGTCTTGAGGCATGGCCACCCAGTGGTTCTCAAGTCAGGTAGGCGGATCTATGTTCACTAATCAGTGATAGGGGTCATGTCTTGCTGCTTCTGTTCTCGTTGAATCCCTGCTAAATCTAATGTTTGTGTTTCCCCTTCCCCTTTTTTCAGGTGCTGGACATTCTCCAGAAGGTGTTTTACCGCTCCAACCCTGCTCGCGAGGCGTTCGTTGAGATGTGTGCGGACGACTACGTGCAGAAGATGACGTTCGACAGCTACCTCTACAAGACGGTCGTGCCGGGCAACCCCCTCGATGACCTCAAGCTGGCCGTCAACACCATCGGCAGCCTGATTCGCGCGAATGCTCTTCGCAAGGTCGCCCTCGAGAAGGCCTAGAGTGTTATTGCTGTTTTGAAATTTTAGATGTGTATACTGGGTACAATACATTGTTGCATTCACATTAACATTTGAAAAGCACAACTTTCAGGATGTACCATACGTACAGGTATCGTGGGGGGCCAGTTGATCATGTATTCTATAAACATGTGATGGAAATTGGAGATGGAAAGTACTTGTACTAAGCACTTTATAAAACAACTGTGTGCACATTATGGTCACACATTATCTTGCTGAAAATCCTGGGAAGGAGTTATTATCGGAAAATTGTACTGATTTTTTTAATTAATGTGTGTTACACTTCTAGAAATGGTTGGATTGGGGTGGAATTCATTACCTCGTCATCAAGTATCTTGATAAGATACTCCACTCCTCGTTGCTGCCAACTTGAGGTGGCAGGCTGTTTGGCAAAAGAACAAATGGCACCGTAGGTCAGAGTAGCTTGCAGCTTGAACATGTATACTTCCAGTGATACCGTACTTCTTCATCCATACATGATTTCAAAGCTCTGGCCGACAAAAACCAATGATCCTTCTGTCCTAGTACCAGGAGCGGTATTCGCCCCATTCACCAATGAGCCCGAGCACAACAAAGTAGTTTCTGTGTTGAGCTTTTGGTGGAGCCTGACTGTAAAGAGGACACCAAAGTTTATGTTTGCCTTGTGCCTGCGGTAACCAGAGAGGGTCCGAAGTGGCTCGGGAGCTGATGATTGGCCGGTGGCAGGGTCTGTGTTGATGATGGCACACCTGCTGCAGGGAGCAAGGGACTGGAGGGGAAGGGGGAGGGAGCGGGAGGAGAGGGGGTGGCGAGGAGCGGGTGATGAAAATGCGAAAGTAGGAGACATGGACTACAGTGGTGGCAGGGTCAGTGTTGATAATGGCACATCTGCTGCAGGGGCAAGGGACTGGAGGGAAGGAATTGGTGAGGCGGGGAGGGGAAGGAGGAAGGAACATTGAAAGGGACAACCGAGGAGACGGTTTGTGAGATTATTTTTGTGTTGACAAGCGTGAGCGTGTGTGAGATAGTGTCATGTGAAGAGAAATAGGTGAATCGAGAAGAGGAAAGATAGAGAGAGGGGAACAAGGCGGCTTATGATGAACAGCCAAAATGCTGATTTAAACAGAATTGATGAATGAAAATAAGCACCACTCAGTTAAGCACTGCTCACCTCAAAAGAAACGTTTTGACCAACCAGCTGCTTCCACCTGTCCTCATCGTATGGCGCCACGTCAGCACCACCCACCACGATGTTGGGCCGAAACCGCAACGCCCACGAGGCATCTGCTTCCACAACTCTGTCCACGTCAGCAGTCTGAGACAACCCTGCTGACGTGGCACCAGCTACTGCTGGTGCCGGATAAGCTTGACCCATCCCCGAGCCTGAGCCGAGGCCATTAGGTTCGGCAGAGTTACCAAGCCTCAGGCTCCAATCGGCAGGGCAGCAAGGAAGCGCAGCAGAATGAGACCCTAGCAACGGCGAGGGACCAGATTTGACTTGCTTATTTTGCAAAGTTTTATCCACTCCTGTTGTTCTCCCGTTTAATTCCGCTCCCTCTCCTGCCATCAACTCCCCGTCTGTCCCATGTGCCACTCTCTTTTGAAGATCAACCAGACTGGCAGATGAGACCACTAGAAGCTGTGCCTCATTGGCTAGAGAAAGAGAGGGGGAAGAGGAGGGAGAGGGCAAGAGTGTTGCAAGAGTGTTGTGAGAGGAGGATGCAGATTGAGAAGATTCGCCACTGCCGTAGCGATTTTCAGTGATCTGATTGCTTCTGGTGTTGTCCTGACTGTTGAGGATGCTTCGCAGCAGCTTCTTCTGCTGGCGGGCGTGCGGCAGCAGCCTCACTAGCTGACATGGCGTGCCGAGAGCGGTGGAGAGCCAGGCTGCCACGTCAGCAGGGTACACTGCCACGTGGACGCTGAAGTGGATGACAAGGGGAGAACACAATGGAGGCGATGGAGCGAGTGAGTGAGTGAGTGAGAGACGAGCGATTGAGAATGTCCGACGATGAGGCGGGCATGTATTTTATCATGCACACATGTGTCGAACGGGCATGCCCATGTGTGAAGCGGCATGTCCATGTGTGAAGCGGCATGTCCATGTGTGAAGCGGCATGCCCATGTGTGAAGCGGCATGCCCATGTGTGAAGCGGCATGTCCATGTGTGAAGCGGCATGTCCATGTGTGAAGCGGCATGTCCATGTGTGAAGCGGCATGTCCATGTGTGAAGCGGCATGTCCATGTGTGAAGCGGCATGTCCATGTGTGAAGCGGCATGTCCATGTGTGAAGCGGCATGCCCATGTGTGAAGCGGCATGCCCATGTGTGAAGCGGCATGTCCATGTGTGAAGCGGCATGCCCATGTGTGAAGCGGCATGCCCATGTGTGAAGTGGCATGCCCATGTGTGAAGCGGCATGTCCATGTGTGAAGCGGCATGTCCATGTGTGAAGCGGCATGCCCATGTGTGAAGCGGCATGCCCATGTGTGAAGCGGCATGCCCATGTGTGAAGCGGCATGCCCATGTGTGAAGCGGCATGCCCATGTGTGAAGCGGCATGTCCATGTGTGAAGCGGCATGTCCATGTGTGAAGCGGCATGCCCATGTGTGAAGCGGCATGCCCATGTGTGAAGCGGCATGCCCATGTGTGAAGCGGCATGCCCATGTGTGAAGCGGCATGCCCATGTGTGAAGCAGCATGCCCATGTGTGAAGAGGCATGCCCATGTGTGAAGCGGCATGCCCATGTGTGACAGGCGCATGCCCATGTACGTATATCTAAGTCACCATGGTGCTTGAGAATTCTAAAGAATGTCTTGCAAGGATACATGTGCGTGCTACATCGACATGACGCCACATACACAGAAACAGAACCATGTGAAGTTGAACTTGTCTTTAGACGTCTCAAGATCACCGTTACGCCACAGAAACAGAGAGTACCACACCCATCCACGCACCTGTCACCGCACACTCGCACCCCGTCCAGCCTGGCATCAGGCCACGAGTCAAGATACATACAAGTGTGTGCTCCCTACAAAACAGCCCAAGGGTAGGTATCCTCTCACCTGTCCCACCCATAGACACCCATCCACACCCGTGTATACCAATCTAAACCTACCCACGCACCTGTCACCGCAGACTCGCACCCCGTCCAGCCTGGCATCAGGCCACGAGTCAAGATACATACAAGTGTGTGCTCCCTACAAAACAGCCCAAGGGTAGGTATCCTCTCACCTGTCCCACCCATAGACACCCATCCACACCCGTGTATACCAATTTAAACCTACCCACGCACCTGTCACCACACACGCGCACGCCATCCAGCCTGGCATCAGGCCACGTGTCAAGTGGCAATTGGAGGGGAGACCGGGGCAGAGAGTCTTGGGGACTGCAGTGGATGGAGAGGAGGCGAGAGGCGAGGCCGATGGATGGGCGAAGGCGGTATAGAGAGGGGACCTGGGTGGGAAAGGGGGGGATCAGGGATGAGCAAAGGGCGAATACGAACATGTTCGTGTTCGCCCCTTGTCGAACACACTCTTTTGCCGAACCGAACACTGTTCGGTTCGGCGAACAGTTTAGGCAAAAACAGGCGTTCGCTGTTCGCCTGTGGAGGCGTGTTCGGGCGAACCTCGAACACGTTCGTGTTCGCCACGGGCGTTTTGCAGCAGCGCCACGAACACGAACGTGTTCGGGCGAACCTCGAACACGTTCGGGCGAACGATTTAAGCTGAAAAACAAAACCTGTTCGGTTCGCCTCGAACACGTTCGAGGCGAACCGAACAGGTGTTCGCCATCTTGCTCATCCCTAGGGGGGATGCAGAAGCAGTAGATGAAAAGAAAGGGAATTAGGGTGGATGGAGAGGAGGCGTGAAGCAAGGTCAATGGATGGACGGAGGCTGTAGAGGGAAGGGGGGATGGGGGCGAAAACGAATGAAGTGAGGTGAAGTGCGATGAAGTGTAATGAAGTGCGATGAAGCACGATGAAGTGCGATGAAGTGCTCATACTGCTGGGCCCAAGAGGAGAGGAGTGCCTATGAGAATGCTAGCTGCTCTGCTCACCCTATTGGCCCCCAATGGTGTCCCCGTGGGGTTGATGATGAGCCATTCCCGGTCATGCAGCAGCCCTGATGGCATGGGTGGCATGCATGGGATGGGTGGGGCACAGCATGGCATGGGTGATGGTGGCATCTGTGTGTGGCTACACACAGCATGATTGGAGGGTTTTTTTGAGAATTCTAAAAAAAACCCCACACACAGCATAATTGGGGCACATCTGATTGGGCCTAAGAGGAGTGCCCACGGGGTTATTGATGAGCCATTCGCGGTCAGGCAGCAGACAATGCAGCAGACCGTCTGATGGCACAGGATGGTGGCATGGCATGGCATGGCATGGCATGGGAGGAATTACCAGTGGGCCCCAGCGGCCATGCTTCCTCTCGCATGGGAGCAAACGACATGATCGGATACAGAAACAGCCCCTCTACAGTCACACTCCATGCAGGCAAATCTAAGCAGCAAAGCACTACCCCTCAGCTCCGAAGGCGGATTTACCCATGGGACCAAGCGGCCATACTTCGACTCGCATGAGAGCACACGACTCGACTCAATGCACGCAATACAGCAGACTACTACCCCTAACCACACTTTACAGCTCTATACCACTCTATGAAGGACTTACCAGTGGGTCCAAGCGGCCATGCTTCCACTCACATGGGAGCACACGACTCTAGAGCCAGGCACCATGCCATGCTACACCCCCCACATGATACGTCTAAGCAACAAAGAACTACCCCTAAGCTCTGAAGGCGGACTCACCAGTGGGTCCCAGCGGCCATGCTTCGACTCGCATGGGAGCACACGACTTGATCAAGTACACAAGCAGCCCCTGTTTAGTCACACTTTCTGCAGGCAAATTCAAGCAGCAAAGCACTACCCCCAAGCTTTGAAGGAGGACTTACCAGTGGGCCCCAGCGGCCATGCTTCCACTCGCATGGGAACACACGACTCAATACACACTATGCAGAAAAATACTACCCCTAACCACACCATACCGCTCTCTACCCTATAATATCCCGAACTTACCAGTGGGACCAAGCGGCCATGCTTGCACTCGCATGGGAGCACACGACTTGATCGGGTACACAAACAGCCGCTCTATAGTCACACTCCGTGCAGGCACATTTGCTTGTGGCAGCCTCTCCATAGTGACACTTGGTGCAGACACATCTGCTTGTGCAAGCTCCTCCCGATGCTCAGATTGGCTTGCCGTTCCATCAGTTAGTCGCCCTATATCCAGCTTCTCCTCGTCATCAGCAACGGCGGCTGTAGCGGCTGTAGCAGAAGATGCAGAAGCGGCAACAGCAGCGACCGCGGCAGGAGCAGCAGTAGTGGCAGCAGCAGCAGAGGCGGCAGAGGTGGCGAGCTGGGGTGGGGTGAGCTGACGTGGAGAGTGCTGAGGTGGAGAGTGCTGACGTGGCAGCTCCACAAAGCACGTTTGGATGAAGGAAAGGAAGGCCTGCAGCAATCGCACAACGGGGGTGTGTGGGGGGTTTGCGTTGGCCAGTAGAGGAGGATGCGTGGAACATCGGCAGGGAAAGAAACAAAGAAGCGAAGCTTTTCAACGACAACGATCTTCCATGAGCCCACTGGGATTCCAATGAATAAGTAAATGATGAACCGCAGTGGACTCAAAAGTCAAGACAGACAAAGGGAGAAGATGAAAGGAATTACTAGAACCAAAAGGAGATTGGGTGAACACACATACACTCAGCGACCCACCTTCACATCATCGATGGTTGACAGGTGACCAAAGGAGATAAAAAACAGACATTCAACTCAACCCAACTCACCTCCACGTCATCAATGGTTGACAGGTGTCCAAAGGAGATCCGCACGGCGCCAGTCGGCCGCCCCGCAATCACGTCGTTGTCGTCCCAACACACGTGCCCCGCCTCGTAGTTTTCGAGGAGTTGGGCGTGGGAGAGGCGCAGGTGCTTGGCACAGGCACCAGGGTTGCAGAAACAACCAGTCTGGTAGATAGGGGGGGAGGTGGGTGTGAAAGGGTGGGTTGGAGTGGAGCAATCACATCGTTGTTGGATGTTGTGCAGCAAATATGTCTCAGTTGGTGGTTTCTCACCTTCGGTTTTAGAGGTCGTGGGTTCAACTCTCAGCAGCTGCACTTTCCATTTTCATTTGCTCACCATCACATGTCCACACTCCACCACTCAAGTAGCGAGCATGGGTGAGTGTGGTAGAGTGTAGACATGTGATGGTGAGCATAATGAGAATGGAAAGTGCAGCTACTGAGGAGTTGAACCCACGACCTCTAAGACCAAAGGTGAGAAACTACCCACTGGGAAATACTTGTTGCACAACAGTTGTCATCCCAGCACACGTGCCCCGCCTCGTAGCTTCGGAGGGGGTGGGGATGAGACAAGTGGAGGTGCTTGGCGCAGGCACCCGGGTTACAGTAACAACCAGTCTGGTTTTAGGGGGGGAGGTGGGTGTGAAAGGGAGGGTTGGAGTGGAGCAATCATATCGTTGTCATCCCAGCACACGTGCCCCGCCTTGTAGTTTCGGAGGGGGTGGGGATGAGACAAGTGGAGGTGCTTGGCACAGGCGCACGGGTTGCAAAAGCAACCGGTATGATATATGGGAGAAGAGGGGAGGATAAGGATTGATGGCAAAAGCAACCGGGTTATTTAGTGTTATCCCAGCAATCTGGCGCGCGCTTCATGTGGAAATGGATGGCCGCTAGCTTCTCCACCTCCTTGTGCCCCACCCACCACCCATCGCTGCGACTAAGATCCGTCAACTGCTGTGGATATGCATGCATTTGCTGCCACTTCTTGTTACCAGGAGTTGAACGTTGGGGATGCCAGCTAGCTTCTCCATCTCCTCGTGTCCCATCCACCACCCATGCTGTGCCTCAGGTTGAATCCGACTTTAGAGGTCAAGAGCATACATACCCTGAGATGAATGCTGTGGATGGCTGCTAGCTTCTCCACCTCCTTGTGCCCCACCCACGACCCATCACTGCGCTTCAGGTTAAACGCCACCACCCCCCCCTGCTGCTTCAACACTGCCTCTCGTTCCTCCTCTCGTCCCTGCAAATCCACCACTCCATTCTTCTCAATCGAATCAAAAGACGCTCGCCTCTCCCGATCCACGACTCTGCTATTTTCAAGATGCAGCAACAAGGCCCTGTGCCTTCCATACACGATGCAAACGGGCTGGCCGTTAAAGTGGAGGAGGGAGAGGAGGCGAGAGGCGGTGAAGAGAGCAAGAGACGAGACGTGGCTGTAGGGGGTTGGGGAGACAACAGAAATGGAGGAGAAACGATGTGTTGAGACACATCAAGACTCAGCAGCAGCACCCTTGTCGGCAAAGCACTGCGTTGTAAGGCGCCCCAAGCCTCAGCAGCAGCGGCCCTGTGCCTTCCGTACACGGTGCAGACGCTCTAACCGTTGCAGTGGCGGAGGGAGAGGAGGCGAGAGGCGGTGAAGAGAGCAAGAGACGACAGAAATGGAGGAGAAACCACGTGTTGAGACACATAAAGACTCAGCAGCAGCACTCTTGACGTCAATGCACTGTGGCGGAGGGAGAGGAGGTGAGAGGCGTTGAGAGGCGGTGAAGAGTGCGAGAGAAGAGACATGGCTGCCCATGGGGTGGGAAGACAACAGAAATGGAGGGGAAAGCAAGTGTTGAGACACCTCAAGACTCTGCAGCAGCAGCAGCAGCAGCAGCAGCAGCAAGAGGAGGTGAAGAGTGCGAGAGAGGGGACGTGGCTTCCCAGGGGGTGGCGAAGATCCCAGCCGTCCCTCACCTGTCCAAGACCCCCCCCGCGCGCCGTCACCCATAAGCTGACCAAGTCAACGTCCTGTTTGTCGACGGCCAACTCTTCAAGCTCTAAGGCAAATTTATTGCTTATACGACTGTACATTCCTACACGAATGAATCTAAGCTCTTATTTGGCGTAGGCCGAGAGGGCCCAACAAATAAACACCAGGAGGTCATAAACTTGGTGTTAGGAACACACCGCTGAGTGGCAGAGATGGAGAGGCGGGTGACCAAGGCAAAGCCTGAAGGGAGCTCTGCTGCGAGGTGGAGGAAGGGGAGAGAAGAGTGCCATGCTCCCACTGTACTTAGCGACTGCATAAGACGATAAGGGCTCACCGTTGGATGGCTAAGGAGGAAAGACGTGAGACCAGGGCGAGGCCTGGAGGGAGCTCTGCTGCGAGCTGGAGGAAGGGGAGGGTGCCGTCCTCCCACTGTGCTTCCAACCAAGAACACAAGGTTGTAACCCCCAGGAGACACCCACCAGATGGCAAAGGCTCACCGTTGATCTTCACGGCTTACCGTTGGATGGAGAGGAAGGAGAGGAGGGAGACCAGGGCGAGGCCCAGAGGGAGCTCTGCTGCCAGGTGGAGGAAGGGGAGAGGAGAGTGCCGTGCTCCCACCCACTCTGACTCGAAAATACAGACTCGCAACAAACACCAGGAGGAAAGGGTCGCGATGCTCACCGTTGGATGGCAGAGAAGGAGAGGCGGTTGACCAGGGCGAGGCCTGGAGGGAGCTCTGCTGCGAGCTGGAGGAAGGGGAGAGTGCCGTCCTCCCACTGCGACTCGAGCGATGGGCGCAGAGAGACAAAGTCGGAGTCGGCAAACACTGCTGCCACGGTGCCTGGAGGGGGGAGGGGGGGGGGGAGCAGGAAGAGAAAGGATGTGTAGTAAGGAGAGCGGTTTAGGGTTTAGGGCAGGGTGCCATGCTCCCACTGTGCTTCCAGCGATGAGCGCAGAGAGACAAAGTCGGAGTCTGCAAACACTGCTGCCACGGTGCCTGGGAAGGAGGGGAGGAGGGGAGGAGGGGGGAGAGAGTGCTGGGAAGCCATCCTCCCACTGTGCTTCTATGGATGGGCGCAGAGAGACAAATTCAGAGTCTGCGAACACAGCTGCCACCGTGCCTGCAGGGGAGAGGAGGGAGGGGAGGATCGAGAAAGGAAGTACTAAAGAAGACAGGTGGAGGAAGGTCAGAATGCTGTGCTCCCTCTGTGCTTCTACGGATGGGCGCAGAGAGACAAAGTCGGAGTCGGCAAACACTGCTGCCACGGTGCCTGCAAGAGAGAGAAGAAAGGGGAGGACAGAAAGACGTTATAAGGAGAGAGGTGGAGGAAGGGCAGGGTGCCATCCTCCCACTGTGCCTTTATGAATGAGCGCAGAGAGACAGAGTCGGCGCCTGCAAACACTGCAGCCACGGTGTCTGTGAGGGAAGAAGGAAGAAGAGAGGACAGGGGGGAAGGGCGATGGATGTACTAAGAGAGAGGTGAAGTAAGGGCAGGGTGCCATGCCATGCCATCCTCCCTCTGTACTTCCAGTGATGGGCGCAGAGAGACAAAGTCAGAGTCTGCAGAAATTGCTCCAGAAATTGCTCCATAGTTGGAGAAATTGCTGGGTGTACTCCAACTATTATGCGTCATGGATCGGAGCACAGAAACTAAGGCCGACTGAAAAGTCACTGTGAACATGAATTCAAATGCGAACGCATTCATGAAGAGGATACCTGCAAACACAGCTGCCACGGTGCCTGTGAGGGGAGAGGAGGCGGGGAGGAGGGAGGAGAAAGTGGTGGAGAGAGGATGAGCCGAAACAAGAGAGATGGAGGAAGGGGAGAGTGTCGTCCTCCCACTGTGCTTCTAGTGATGAGCACAGAGAGACAAAGTCAGAGCCTGCAAACACTGCTGCCACGGTGCCTGTAGGGTGAGAAGAGGGAAGGGAGGAGAGGGAAATGATTTACTAAAGGGTGGGGATGGTCTGGAGGAAGGAGAGTGTCGTCCTCCCACTGTGCTTCTAGTGATGAGCACAGAGATACAAAGTCAGAGCCTGCAAACACGTTGCCTGTAAGGGGGAAGGAGGGACGGAGGGAAGGAGAGACAAAAGGTTGTGCCGAAAGAAGGGATGTGGAGGAAAGGGAGTGTGCACTGTGAAGCACTCCCTATGTGCTTCTAGTGATGACAACTATCACATGACTGCCAACGAGCGCTTGCTACTCGCCGTACCTCCACTGAAGTAGGGCTTGCTGAGGATGAAGGCAGCATCTGAATGAGAGGGGCACAAGTTGCTATGCAGAGTCATCATGCTACTAGCTACTACTGCTACCACTGTCACCGTGTCATTCACATGACTGTCAACAAGCGCATGCTACTCGCCGTACCTCCACTGAAGTAGGGCTTGCTGAGGATGAAGGCAGCATCTGGGAGTGAGAAGAAAGGGATATGCACAGAGAGTCGGAAGAGGAGGGAGACAAGGGATGAGAGATAGGCAGTTGGTTGAAAGATGGGATCAAGGGTGACGGGAAGATGAGAGGAGGCGTATAAAGAAGCACGTGGGAAGAAGCATATGAGAAGAAAGAAGCATTCGGGAAGGGAAGTGAGAAGCATCTTAGAAGAAGCGTATAAGAAGAATGAAGCATATGAAAGGAAGAGAACATACATACCTCGCCGGATTATAAGGGCTCCAAGTCCTGTAGGAAATCCAAAGATCTGCTTATAGCGGGACAACAAGGGTGAAGGCGAGAGATGGTTACCACTTGGAGTGAGGAGCTGTAAGAAAGCGCTAGTCAGGTAATGAGGCAGAGAGAAGAGAAGTTAGCAGAGAATCGCAACAGAATGATGAGGGGACAGGAGGGAGTACGGAGAAAAGGAGAAACGGAGAAGTGAGAGTGCCACCCACCCACCTTGTAGAAGGTGGGGTTGAGAATGGGAGTGAGAATGGAAATGACAAACAGGAGGGAGTACGGAGAAAAGGAGAAAAGGAGAAAAGGAGGCTGCCACCCACCTTGTAGAAGGAGAGTGTGACAAAGTTAGCAGGGCAGTGGGTGGTGTGGAAAGGTGGAGAGGGGTGGAGAGGAATGAAGAAGGGTAGAGACAGCCCACCCACCTTGTAGGAGAGTGCAACGAAGTCCGCAGGGGGCAGTGGGAGAGGTCCGGAGGGTGGGAGGCATGGAGAGGACTCAGAGGAGGGGCATAGGGAGGAGAGGGCAACCCACCTTGTAGAAGGAGAGTGCGACAAAGTCAGCGGGGCAGTGGGAGAGGTCCGGAGGGTCCGAGGCAGCAGCTTTGGCAGCATCGAGAAGCACGAACCAGCGCCGGGGAGGAGGGTGAGAAGGAGAGGAGTCGAAAGCGGGATAAGGATATCTCACCTTGTAGAAGGAAAGAGCAACGAAGTCAGCAGGGCAGTGGGAGAGGTCCGGAGGGTCCGAGGCAGCAGCTTTGGCAGCATCGAGAAGCACGAACCAGCGCCGGGGAGGAGGGTGAGAAGGAGAGGAGTCGAAAGCGGGATAAGGATAACTCACTTTGTAGAAGGAAAGAGCAACGAAGTCAGCAGGGCAGAGCGAGAGGTCCGGAGGGTCAGAGGCAGCAGCCTTGGCAGCATCGAGAAGCACGAACCAGCGCCGGGGAAGCGGGGACGAAGAAGCACTTCCACTACTGCATCCACCATCACCACCACGACCAGTACGACTCCTGCCACTTTCATCCCCACCACCACCCTCCCTATCAGCTTCATGGCCACTTGTCAACCTGCCACTGCTCTCCGTGCCTACAGCATCTGTACCCCAGGCCTCCCCACCAGCACCCCTGTCAGCTCCACCACCAGTCGCCGCGCCACTGCTATTGGCCTGCCCTTGATACACTTCTGCACTGGACGTCCCATGACTTCCTCCCAGCCAACCCCAGAGGCCACCCCACGCTCTGCTGTTTGCAGGCAACTGCTGCTGCTGCTGCTGCTGCTGCTGCTGCTGCTGCTGCTGCTGAGTTTGAGAGGCACCAGCGGTTGTGCCATCACCTCCCTTCTCTCTTCCCTCCTCTCTTTCCTCCTCGATTTCTTTCCCACTTCTCCTTTTCCCTCTCCCCCTGCCCTTTCTCCTACCACCACCGCTCTCCACTCCTCTGTCCTCCCGGCTCCACCCCTCCCACCCATCCAAACACCTCTCCTCCTTCACAGCCTTCACCAGCCTCAAATCGAGCTTCTCCCCGCTGAAATTACTCTCTGCAGGCATTGCAAACAGGCACGGCACAAACGGCAACTCCTGCTGCCCCTCTGAAACCACCTTTTGAGGCGGCCCAAAAACAGCCTCTTTCCTGCGTGCGTGAAATGCTGTTGGTGCCTTCCCTTCCCTTGGCGCCCGTGAAAATCGGTTCAGCAGGTGAAGAGATACCCCATCCACCACCCCTCGAAGGACCGTGCTCTCTGAACAGCCATCCACCTTTCCATCCGCTTTTCCATCTACCCTTCTACCCTTCCCATCTGCCGCTCGATGCTTTCTCATGCCCCTTGCCCCTTTACCCCTAGACGTTTGAGTCGACTCAGAAGGCTCCTCATTCTCTGTTCTCACATTCCTTGACCCTAAGCCTGCCTTTCCACCGCTTTTTCCCTCACGGCCCTTCTCCTCGCTTCTTCCTCCTGCCCCAGTCCCACCTGCCCCAGATCCACCCGCCCCACTCCCACCAGCTCCGACCCCACCATCCCCAGCCACACCTGGAGCAGCCACACCTGGCCGAGCCTCCTGTCCAGGCTCGGAATCAGCCCTGCCATGCTGTGGCTCGGTCAGCACTGGTTCGGCAGGAACAGTGGATTGAGAAAGGTTGGTTCCATCCAATTTCTCATCCTCGTCTTCCCCCTCCCCTTCATCGTCCTTTTCCTCATCCTCATCCTCTTCCTCTTCCTTTACCTCCCCTGCTCCCTTGCGCTTGCTCTTGCTGCTGCCAGGTAAAGCCAGTCGAACCTTCCTCCTGCTGCCCACTCGCACTCCCACCTTTCCCTCCTCTTCCTCCTCTCCCTCTTCCTCTTCCTCTTCCCCTCCCTCTCCCTCCTCCTCTTCCTCTTCCTCCTCCGCATCCTCATCCTCCCCTGCTCCCTTGCCCTTGCTCTTGCTGTTACCAGGCAAAGCCAGTCGAACCTTCCTCCTACTGCCCACCCGCACTCCCACCCTTTTCTCTTCCTCTTCCTCTTCCTCTTCCTCTTCCTCTTCCTCTTCCTCTTCCTCTTCCTCTCCCTCTTCCTCTTCCTCTTCCTCTTCCTCTTCCTCTTCCTCTTCCTCCTCTTCTTCCTCCTCCTCTTCCTCTTCCTCCTCTGTTGCTCCCTTTCGCTTACTCCTGCTGCTCCCAGGTAAGACCACTCGAACCTTCTTCCTTCCACCTACCCTCACTCCTACTTTCCCCTCCTCCTCCTCCTCCTCCTCCTCCTTCTCCTCCTCCTCCTCCTCCTCCTCCTCCTCCTCCTCCTCCTCCTCCTCCTCCTCCTCCTCCTCCTCTTCCTCACCCTCTTCCTCCTCTGCTTTACGTTTGCTCCTTCTCGCACCCAATGCCAATCGGACCTTCCTCCCACCACCCAACCTCACACCCCCCTTCCTCTCCTCTTCATCTCCTTCCTCATCCTCCTCATCTTCATCGCTTCCCTCCTCGTCCTCCTCCTCCCCTTCTTCTTCTGATTCTTCTTCCTCCTCTTCATCTTCTTCCTCTTTTTCGTCCTCCTCCTCTTCCTCCTCTCCTCCCTCTTCTTCCTTTACTTCCTCCTTCATTTCCTTCACTCCATTCACTTCCACGTCTTCCTCTCTCCTTTCCTGTTTGTCATGTCCATTCTCACTCCCATTCTCACTCTCATTCTCACTCCCATCCCCACTCAATTCCTCACTCACAATCTCACTCCCAGTCTCACTCTCACTCTCATCCTCATCACCCCCTTCTCCCTCTCCCTCCTCGTCATCCCCCATATAGTCATCCTCATAGCGAAGATCAACGACAGACACTGTAGCACCAGCTCTAAGCGCATACCTGCACACAGCAACGCATTGAACAGTGCACAGTACCGCGTCAGATTATACATGATGATCACACTTTTGAGGCGCCTCAAAAGCCACAGTGAACAGTGCATAGTACCGCACTAAATTGACAATAATCACCACCATACGCAATGTCACGGTAGGTAACACACAAAAGAAAGGGATAAAAAACGGAAGACCGAATGCCAAGTACACAGACTTGGAACTTTCTTTAACTCTCTGATCCCCAGCACCGAGTTGTGGTTGTCCAGCGTCATCGCCAGCTGGCTGCCTGCCCCTCCGTCCGTCCCTCTAATCCCAGAACACTGTCCCCTCCCACTCCTCTAGGTTCTTACTCTCTGATCCCCAGAACCGAGTTGTGGTTGTCTAGCGTCATCGCCAGCTCGCTGCCTGCCGCCCATCTGAACGCCTCGCCGACCGTTCTGAGTGCTGACGTGGCGCCACTGGTGAAGACGCAGGCATAGAGGGAGGGCGGGGCATTGCACATGGCTAGGACCTGAAGGAGTGGAACACAAAATAGTACAAATACAAAGGAGTGTCCATGAGATTTTGCAGGACGTGGCAACACTGGTGAAGGCACAGTCGTAGCGGGGAGGGGCATTGCACATGGCAAGGACCTGAAGGGCAGCAGCGGTGATAGATGGAGAATGGGTGATAGAATGGGAGGATACGAGGCTTATGGATATGAATGGGTGTGTGTACGTCAACCTGCTTGGCATTTCTTTTAAGTCAACTCAAATGTCCACCCAAAAGTCACCTTGGGGTGCTAGATAGAATTGTACGAGGCTTATGGATATGAATGGGTGTACGTCAAGTCAACCTGCTCTGCTCGACATTTCTTTTGAGTCGACGCCAACATCGATTCGAGAGTTAACCACTCACAAGTCGCCTTGGGATGATAAATGGAGATGTATGAGGTTAATGGATATGAAGCTGATCCTGGTTAGAGTGTAAGTCAACTGACAGCTGACAGACTAGACTGCCTATCTGGATGATTTTTTAGTTGACTCAAGATTTTGAGTCGATTTTTGAGTCGGCAAAACAATAACATGATCCTGGTTAAGGTGTAAGTCAAGTGATTACCTGCTTCCATTTCAAAGCCTGCCTACCTGCATGCGAAGTGATTCGATAACGTCTGAAGTGGCCGCACTGCTGCTACTGGCGCTGTCTGTAACGGGGATGAAAGGAACAGAGGGAATAGAGTGGGAAGGAATGAGTAACGTGCAGACACGGAAGAAGAAAGGGGGGGGAGGGGGGGGAGGAAAATTCGGCCAATAAATGCACTGTCGCAAGCAGGAGCCACGTACAAGAATGGGAAATCATTAGACAGGATTGGATGAGAGGGAGGGAGGGAGCTGAGAATACTTTTCCCTATGCAATCATTGCAATGTGTGAGGGAGGGAAGTGAGAGAGCGAGGAGAGTGAGAGAGCGAGGAAAGTGAGAAAGCGAGGAATGTTGTTATGGGAGGAGAGTGCTCACGAGGGTTGGAAAAGAGGGAACGAGTGAGGGCTCTGGTAGCTGCTGCAACCTGCGAGCGTGTGTATACTGCTGCTGCTGCATGGTCGAGATACACGCAGCCTGAGGTGGTGGTGGGGGGCAGTGTTGGTGTAAGGGAAGTGGGAGAGAGTGAGGGCTCTTGTTGCTGCTGCGGCCTGCGAGCGTGTGTATACTGCTGCTGCTGCATGATCGAGGCGAGGTACACGCAGGCTGAGGTGTGGAGGTAAACGGGGTTCAAGGGAGAAAGACAGATTGGTGAGGGCTCTGGTAGCTGCTGCGACCTGTGAGCGAGTGTACACCGCTGCTGCTGCATGGTCCAGATACACACAGACTGAGATGTTGTAGGGAGGGGAAGGAGGGTGGGAGAGAAGAGGTTTAGAGTGAGAAGAGAGCTGTTGCTAGTGCTGCGACATGCGAGCGAGTGTACACTGCTGCTTACATGGTCCAGATACACACAGCCTGACATGCGGTGCATGGGGAAGGGGGGGGGGAACAGATGAGGGAGGGAATGAGGGCTGCTGTGCTGCTGCGACCTGCGGGCGCGTGTAAACTGCTGCTGCTGCATGGTCGAGGTACACGCAGGCTGAGGTGCGATCGTGGATGGGAATGATGGGAGAAAGACAAGCAAATAAGAGCTCTTGTTGCTGTTGTGACCTGCGAGCGTGGGTACACTGCTGCTGCTGCATGGTCAAGGTAGACGCAGGCTGAGGTGAGATGGTGGATGGGAATGATGGGAGAAATCAGACAGTTTGGTGAGGGTTCTCGTGATTGTTGCGACATGCGAGCGAGTGTACACCGCTGCTGCTGCATGGTCGAGATACACGCAGCCTGGGATGTGGTGCATGAGGAGAGGGGGGAAGAACGGATGAGGGAGAGATTGAGGGCTCAGGTAGCTGCTGCGACCTGCCAGCGTGTGTACACTGCTGCTGCTGCATGGTCGCGATACACACAGCCTGCAATATGGTGGTGAGAAGGTGGAGCGAGGAAAAGGGGCCAAAGAGAGTGAGGGCTCTGGTGGCTGCCTGCAATCTGCGAGCGTGTGTACACCGCTGCTGCTGCATGGTCGCGGTACACGCAGCCTGGGATGTGGTACACGGCGAGATACATGGGAGAAAGACAAGTGAGTGAGGCTCTTATTGCTTGCTGCTGTGACCTGCGAGAGTGTTTACACTGCTGCTGCTGCATGGTCGAGATAGACACAGCCTGAGGTGAGTTGAAGGATGGGAGAAAGACAAGTGAATGAGGGCTCTTGTTGCTGCTGCGACCTGCGAGCGAGTGTATACTGCTGCTGCTGCATGGTCCAGATAGACACAGCCTGAGGTGTGGTGTGGGGAAGGTGGAGCGAGGAAAAGAGGAAAGAGAGAGAGTGAGAGATGCTGTTGCTGCTGTGACCTGCGAGCGTGTGTATACTGCTGCTGCTGCATGGTCAAGATAGACACAGGGTCAAGATAGTTGGGGGAGGTTTGAAGACAAGAGAGGGAGAGCTGCTGCGGCTGCTGCGGTTGCTGCGACCTGCGAGCGAGCGTAAACTGCTGCTGTGCACTGGCCGTAGCACCACCTTTCAGAAACGCAAGAAAATATTGTATTACTTACATCTACCTACATTGACCGGTCACTGTTTCCACGCTCACCTTTCAGCTGAGGGCATTCCAAACTCCACACGCAACCCTCCGGCTGTAGCAGCGGCTGTGGCACCAGCAGCAGCACCACCTTTCAGCAACAAAAGAAACGGTTATATCTACAGCATCGACCGCCCGTTGTTTCCAAGCCCACCTTTCAGCTGAGGGCATTCCAAAGCCCTGAACTCCTCCACACTCAAACCCCCGGTTGTGGCACCACCGGCTGTAGCACTGGCTGTAGGAGCACTGGCTGTAGCAGCACCGGCTGTAGCAGCACCGGCTGTAGCAGCACCGGCTGTAGCAGCACCGGCTGTAGCACCGGCTGTAGCACCACCGGCTGTAGCACCGGCTGTAGGAGCAGCTGAGGGCAAGCTCACCTTTCGTTTCCACGCTCACCTTTCAGCTGAGGGCATTCCAAAGCCCTGAACTCCTCCACACTCAACCCTCCGGCTGTAGCAGCGGCTGTAGCACCAGCAGCAGCAGCACCAGCAGCGGCAGAAGGATGTGCGAACCTGTAACCATGCAGGTAACCGCCAAACTCCCTCTCGTACTGCTCCCGAATCGAGAGCCCCTGAAGCTGACGGGCTTCTGACCGACTCTCCGGCCCTTGCAGGTGTGGCTGACGCGCTGGCTGAGGCGCTGCTTGAGGGGGTGGCGCTGGCTGAGGCGCTTCAAGAATAGACTCTCCCGTCGAATAGCCTTCTCTGGAGTCCTCTGCTGCGGTCCTGCTCTCAGGATCACATCTGGGGTCCTCTGCTGGCGTCCCCTCGGGCTCGAAACTCTCTCTGTGAGGCGCCTCAAACCTCTTCGCATATCGTCCCTCCGCCTCACAGGTGTACTCTCGTCCCCCCTTCGCGTCTTGGTCCCTCGCGCTAACCATACTAGCCGTTATGTGAGGCGGCTCGCGAGTAATTTCTCGTCCCCCCTTCTCCGTCTCTTGCTCCTCCGCGCTACGCACACTCTCCGCAATCCCGCCGCGCTCGTCCCCCTCCTCATCCCCTTTTGTGTCACGCGCGGCCCCACTAGTGTCACCCGCGGGTCGCAGGCCACTACTAGTACCCTGCTCGTTTCCACTGCGCGCTATCTGCCTTCGGACCATGCCGTCTCGCCACTCCCTTTACCCGCCCTCTCTCCGCAACTTGATTGCCCTCGCGTCCTTAGTTAGTCGACACTATCGGGTTTTCTTCATTTGAGTCCATTTCCCCTTAGCTATCGTCCTTTCTCCTAACAGGTGCTTCGAATGATGCAAGTGGACAGAACCTAATCTCGGAGCGCGAAGCGGATTTGAGGCGCTTGAAGAGTTTCTGGAGAGTGAAGTGAACTATCTCCGAGAAATGCGTGACCAGACGAACGCAACTGGACTTGAATGGGAAATTCCGTACCAACAGAAACCATACCACGCAGGTCGCTAGAGATTGAGGGAATCTGCTACGGGAAGAAGGCACGTGGCATACCACTAAGTTGCTCCTTAGAGGATAAGGCAGTGACCAGACTAGAACCTGGAGCTGCTGGAATGCTGGAAATTGAAATTCCCGCCTGTCATGGTGAGGGAGTGGGCAAAATAGCCAGCCGGATCCGATACAACAGCGCTCTTCTATTATTGCATGGTACCAATTTTTTGTAGCGTTTGTAAAACACGATACTAAAACTAAGGGATGCTCAAACTTGAATAATAAAGAACAATAGATACACCATCCACGAGAATGCCTCCACAATTCTAGAGTTTTGACGCGAGGCTTGGCTGAGTCGCCTCACTACAGCAGTTCCCATCTTTGCTAGCGATAGGTGTAGAAACAGTGCCTGTTTCGGCGGCATTTTCAGGTTCGCTAGGAGGAACATCAACTGCAGGAGATATGTTGAAGAAACCATGTGGCTGCACGCACAAACACAAACAAACCATGAGGGTGAATTCAGTGTTACAAACAATAGAAGATAGTGTAAACCAAATAAGTTGGCCAACATCGGCGTACAAGTTCCAGGAATCAGTATATATATGCAGTTCAGTGGTGAATGAAACACACCAAGCTTGTAACGAGATAAAAAGAATGGAATCAACTCCATACCAAAAAACACACATGCACCATAACCAGTGCAACATGCATGCACTGGTGATGGTGCATGCATGTTGCCACAGGTTACCACAGAATAAAGCTAATACATTCGCATGACACTCAATATGACAAGAGCATTGACTCACCATGAGGCAGAAGCCGAGGTATTCACAGGGCATGACGGGCCAGTCTTCCAGCCGTGGCACGTGAGTGAGGCCAAACACGTACCTACACAGACAAGGTGGGACAGGAATGCAGTGTTGGGAATGGAACAAATGGGGATGAGGAACAAATATATAAGAAAAAAACCGTGACAGCTGAAACCTGCTTTTACGACAGTGAATGATGCGCGGCACAAGGGACAAACGACAGGGACTGGCTTCAAAGCACCACGTCAGCTTAATAGCTAAACAGGTCTGCTCCACCCACATGGATAGCCAGTGCTAAAAACACCTCAAAAACAGACTTGTCATGTGTCGCTTACTAAAGCACCACTTACCAAAGCACAACGTCAGCATTGTCAATGGATCTGTTCTGCTGCACCCACGAGGACAGCCCATCGCCGACCCTGGGGTTCTGGTTCGGGAACTCGCCGCCTGGAAACCGTTCCTCCGGGTGGTACGGCGTCACCCACAGGTTGTGCTTCAGGAATTCTGCCCGGCGGAGAAATTTCGCCTCGGGCTGCGAGAAGGGCAGGCAGTTGGACCCCGGCACGAGCTTGTAGGCAGTCGGACGACCTGCCCGGTTGACTGCCCGAGTGTTTTGAATCTGCATCGGGAAGAAGGTACGACCCAGAAAATAAGGGAAAACCAAGATAGGTTTGAGGCGTCTCAACACATGTTTTGGGTCTCTGCAGCAGAGTCAGGGAAGACTCCAACAGAAAAGACAGACTGTGAAATGACTGGACACTACGCCTGAATGAATCACGGAAGCCATGCAGGGTCTGGGATGCATTCACTGCAAGCGGCAACAGATTTTTTAAATAAAAAGCATCAACTCCTTTGAGTCCTTCGCTCATTCTCTCGCGCACTCTGTCACTCATTCCTTCGGTCACTCAGTCACTCACTCCCTCAGTCACTCCCCCACTCACCGGCCAGTGGCGAGCAGACATGGGGTCCACGTCTCTCATGCCCTTTCCCTCTGTCCGCACAACCCTCTCCTCCGCATAGAAGGCATTCGCATGCGGGTTGCGGGCCCTCCCCTTCTAGTCTTAAGCAAAATGATAGAAAAGTCTCCCTTCCTCCCCTCCCACCCATGCACTCACCAGCCAGTGGCGAGCAGACATGGGATCGACATCTCGCATGCCCTCTCCCTCTGTCCGAAGCACCCTCTCTTCGGCATAGAAGGCATTCGCGTGCGGGTTGTGGGGGCCCTCCGTCTCCATCCTCACATTCAGCTCCACCACCTGATGCAGGGAAGGGGATAGGGGTAAGGAACAACTGCACATTAGAGGAACAAGGATGCATTCTCATGCGGGTTGTGGGGACCTTCCGTCTCCATCCTCACATTCAGCTCCACCACCTGATGATGCGGGACGGGGAAGAAGGGGGATCAGGGAACATGGCCTCATTTGCACGTGGGTTGTGGGGTCTTTCCCTCCCCTTACGAGCCAAAAAGCATTGCTGGTGGATGGATGGGCGCCTAGAGGCATGTAGGTCACACGAAGTGCCTAAAGGCCATGGGTAGACGGATGGGCGCCTAGACGGATTGGCGCCCAGAGGCCATGCGCCTTAATCGACCACCCTTACCTGGTTGGATTGCTCCCCCGGGCGGCAGTCCACAGCCATGTCCATGCGAAGTGATGGTGGAAGGAAAGCTGATGGATAGGTCGAGGATGGGTGCTGGGAGTACGTCAGGAGTAAGAAACACCCTCCAAACCCACCAACGCACCTGGTTAGCAGCCTCCCCCTCTCTTTACCTGATTAGCCTGCTCCCCAGGCCGGCAGTCCACAGCCATGTCCATGCGAGCCACGAAGAAGTGCTGGTGGATGGGAGGATGGAGGCAGAGAGGCCAGGTGCTAGCACCACCCGGTGTATCCTGGTAGCCCTCACCTGATTAGCGTGCTCCCCCGGGAGGCAGTCCACAGCCATGTCCATGCGAGCCACAAAGAAGTGCTGGTGGATGCATGGCCGCATAGAGGTGTGTCAAGTGCAGTACTGCTTACCGTGTGCCTCAATTACCCTCACCTGGTTGGTCGGCTCGCCTGGGCGGCAGTCCACAGCCATGTCCATGCGAGCCACAAAGAAGTGCTGGTGGATGGATGGACGGGCGCAGAGAGGCACTGCGCACCTCAACCACCCTCCACTGCATTCCCCTCTCCCATCCTCTCTTTACCTGGTTAGCGTTCTCCCCCGGGTGGCAGTCAACAGCCATGTCCATGCGAGCTACGAAGAAGTGCTGGTGGATGGGAGCGTACAGCCCCGGCGCATACAGATGAGCCCAGGTGCGTTGAGTGCAGCACATCTTCCCGTGTATCCTTCTCCTCCATTTACCTGGTTAGCGTTCTCCCCCGGGCGGCAGTCCACAGCCATGTCCATGCGAGCCACAAAGAAGTGCTGGTGGATGGGAGCGTACAGCCCCGGCGCAAGGTGCCTTGTGTGTACAGTCCCTAACCATGTGTCTCAATCGCCCGTACCTGGTTAGCAGCCTCGCCTGGCCGACAATCAACAGCCATGTCCATGCGAGCCACAAAGAAGTGCTGGTGGATGGGAGCGTACAGCCCCGGCGCCAGCAGCGTGCCGTACTTGCGCTCCTCGCCCTCCCTCAGTGCTCCCACTGAGAGAATACCTGTGAGCTTTACTTGCGCTTCGATCTTGCCGTCCTGCGGTGTGGAAGAGAATCAAGAGGGGAGAGGAGGGAAGAGAGCAGGGAAGAGGAAGGGGAGAAAGGGGAGTAGGAGAGTGGAGGGAGTAGGGTTTGTCAAGGGAGTGGGGGAATGAAGGGGGTGGATGGGAGTGTACAGCCCCGGCGCCAGCACCGTGCCGTACTTGCGCTCCTCGCCCTCCCTTAACACTCCCACCGACAATATGCCTGTCAGCTTCAATTGGGCCTCTATCTTGCCGTCCTGAGGTGTGGGATGGGAAGGGAGTGAGGGAAGGACAGAGGAAACAGAGGAGGGAAGGGAAAGGGGTGTAGGGGGAGTGGGGAGAGTGGGAAAGTGGGTAGGGAGAGGAGGAGGAGCGAGGTTAGTAGAGGGAGTGGGGGGATGAAGGGGGTGGATGGGAGCGTACAGCCCCGGCGCCAGCTGTGTCCCGTACTTTCTCTCCTCGCCCTCCCTCAGCGCCCACCGATAGGATCCCCGTCAGCTTCACCTGGGCCTCGATCTTGCCGTCCTGAGAAAGGGGGAAGGAAGAGGAGAAAAAGGGGGGGTGTATGGGTACCAGAAGAAGCCGTATTCATAGTTGGCCACCGTGCACACAAACGAGAGCACAAGCCATCCCGACTCACCGACTTGCACTCAACACAAAGCGGGCCGGTAGGACACACCCACCTGGTAGAGGTACCAGAAGAAGCCGTATTCGTAGTTGGCCACCGTGCACACGAAAGAGAGCACGAGCCTTCTCGACCGCCTCACTTCCGTGTGCCCCGAGCGCCAGTCCACGTGCTTCCAGAGCATGCCATGGTCCTCCTCATGCATGCACACCGCATTCCCCACACGGTGTTCCCCACTCACCCCCTGCACCCTCACCTGGTAGAGGTACCAGAAGAAGCCGTATTCATAGTTGGCCACCGTGCACACAAACGACAGCACCAGCCGCCTGGACCGCCTCACTTCCGTGTGCCCTGAGCGCCAGTCCACGTGCTTCCAGAGCATGCCATGGTCCTCCTCATGCATGCACACGGCGTTCTCTATCGTCTCAACGCCACCGATGAAGTTGCTCATGTGCGCGTCAAAGTAGCGGATGAAGCCTAGACAGTCACAGCCCTGGGGTGGGGGGAAACGGAGAAGAGGGGACAGAGGGATTGAAGGGGGTGCAATGGGGTGGTGGTGGGCATACGGGGTCCTCTCATGCATGCACACGGCGTTCTCTATCGTCTCAACGCCACCGATGAAGTTGCTCATGTGCGCATCGAAGTAGCGGATGAAGCCCAGGCAGTCACAGCCCTGGGGGGGGAACAAAAGGGAGAAGCGGGGAAAGAGGGTTCAAAAGGGGTGCAAGGAGGTGGTGATGGTCGGCGCACTTGGTCTTACTCATGCATGCCCTGAGCACAAAAAGCACGAGGTTTGGGGATCTCCATACAGCAGCATGCATGCATCCACCTTCTTTAGAGAGTGGGCGTTCTTGCCCAGCCCGTCCTCGCCGGCATCGAAGGCGTTTTTGCGGTAGTGGGGCTCGTGGGGGTCGCCATACGGCACCACCATCTCACAGAAGCTCAGCCGGTGCGCAATGCCCCTCCTGCCGCTGCTGCCGTCGTCGTATGAGAGTGAGTGCAGCACCAGGCCTTCTTTAGGCGTGAACCCCACTCGGAAGCTCCACTGGGAGGGGGGGGGAGGTGAGAGAGGGATTGGTGTAGAAAGGAGGCAGGGAGACGGGGAGTAAGGAGAACGGAGGGTAAATGGAGTGAAGGGGCTCATGGGGGTCGCCATACGGCACCACCATCTCACAGAAGCTCAGCCGGTGCGCAATGCCCCTCCTGCCGCTGCTGCCGTCGTCGTATGAGAGTGAGTGGAGCACCAGGCCTTCTTTAGGCGTGAACCCTACTCGGAAACTCCACTGGAAAAAGGAGGGGCAAGCAGGGAAAGGAAGTCAAGGGACAGCATGCGATGCCCCTCCTGCCGCTGCTGCCATCGTCGTATGAGAGTGAGTGCAGCACCAGGCCCTCTTTAGGCGTGAAACCCACCCGGAAACTCCACTGGATAAAACAAGAAGGGGAGGGAGGGCGCGGAGGGGGTGGGAAATGGGGGAGGGTAAGGCCCACCAGTCCCACCAGCGAATGCAGCACCAGGCATGGTATCCACATGGTATCCTGCCACTCTGAAGTAACGCCCCTTCACGTTCTACCCCCTCATCCTCACCTTCCCTCTTTTTCACGCACCTTCTGCCACTCCACGGCGTATCCATTCACCCTGAAGCTCGGCCCCTCGGGCTGCTCGATTCTGATGGGCTTTATGTCAGTTCGGTCCACGCCCCCCCTGTCCGCCCCGGGCGTGTAGTTGCGCAGCGGGTCGGGCGGGGGCAGCGGGATAACCTCCCTGTCCTCACACTTGATCACTTCCATGCTCTGTAACGGTAGCGGGAGAAGAAGGGGCGTGGGGGTTGGGATGGTGCGGAAGGAGGGAATGGGAGTGGAGGAGGTCTATTGAAGGTCGGGCGGGGGCAGGGGGATGAGCTCCCTGTATTCGCACTTGATCACTTCCATGCTCTGACCAACTGAAATGGGGGAAGATGGAGCCACAGAGCAGCAGAAGCGGCAGCAGCAGCAGCAGGGGCGGATTGAAGGGAGGGGATGGGAAAAAAGGGGGGTTGAGCAGCAGCACTGCCATGCTCTGAACGGCAGCAGCACCCTCTACAGTGTATATCTGCTCACCTGCATATCAACACTCACGTATATGCCCTCCACAGGCCTGGCGTATCCATTGTCCAAGGAGCAGTCAGAGAGGCACATGCGCGCGTGCTGTTAATGAGACAGTGCTTATAAAGGGCACCTGCATGTCTCCACGGGCCTGGCGTATCCATTGTCCAAGGAGAACTCAGAGAGGCACATGCGCGCGTGCTGTTAACGAGACAGTGCTTGTAGAGGGTATGTCAGCTCACCTGCATGTCTACAGTCACGTATATGCCCTCCACAGGCCTGGCGTATCCATTGTCCAAGGAGCAGTCAGAGGGGCAGCGGCAGAAAATGATTGGCTTGGCAAGGCGGCGATTGGGGTGGTCTGCTTCAGAATAATACCCCACACACCTGGACACACAACGGGGATGGAGTGAGGGGTGAATACGAGGGGAGAAAGACAACGGGGATGGAGTGAGGGGAGATGCTGAGCTCAGAATGCTCTAGTGGGTATAGAATATGTGAAAACACTGCCATAAGGGATAGTGCTCAATCATGCATGCATGAATTATTCCAGGACACAGCAGACGCTTGCTTGTGCCAACACCGCACAATGCTGATTCAGTACGTGCGATTGCTGACTCAGCACGTGCTCTTGCTGACTCACCAGGCGTCCACCATGATCAGATCCATGTCATCGACACCTCTTCGCCTCATTGCCTCTTGAAAGGGCGGGTGTGCCTTCACTGCTGCCTCGCACTCTGCATACTCTACTGCGTCCTGAGGAGAGAGGAGGGCGGATGGGGGAGGAGGGAGAGGAGGGAAGAGAATGGGGATCGACATGGGCTGCTGAACGGCATGGGCGGCTGAACGCCATGGGTTGCTGAACGACATGGGTTGCTGTTGCTGAACGACGTGGGCTGCTGAACAGCATGGGCTGCTGAACAGCATGGGCTGCTGAACAGCATGGTCTGCTGAACAGCATGGGCTGCTGAACGCCATGGGCTGCTCAACGCCATGGCATGCTGAACAGCATGGGCTGCTAAGCGACACTGACAACCATGTCTGCTCTTGACTCACCATGGCGGGCTGAACGTCCTCTATGACATGGCACGATGTGATTCGTCCACGGTTGTGTCCCCCTCTCAGACTCGCATGCACCTCTGCCAGCTGTACCACCCACAACGCCGTCTGATTGGTCAGCTTGCTCCACGTCACCAGCCTCGCCTCCCGGGGGGGAAGGCGGAGAAAGGCCGATTTGGGAACGAGGGAGGCGGCGGAGGAGGGGGAGACGGCGGAGGAGGGGGAGGGGGAGGGGATGGCGATGGTGGAGGAGGAAGGAATGGGGGAGGAGGAGGAGCGAAAGGAGGCCGAAGAGGAAGCCTTGTGTTGAGGGAGAGGGTGAGCGTTGGAGGGTGGAATGTACACCGAGTGTTGGTAAGGCGGGAAGAAGTAGGCGTCTGCCAATGCGACCACGTCCTTGGGTGGCTCGTTAAGGGACACCTCGATAAAGCGGATGGCGTCCCGCAGCTGAAACAAACAAACGGTTACATCAGAAATAATGGCCGAAAACGGGGAATGGAGGAAAATATAGGAGAATCCCGAAGGGAAGACAGCGACTGTTCAAGAAACTCGTGATAAGTGACTGTATGTCAAATCAGCAATGCTTTTACCAAAGTGAACGGAAACTGGATCAGCAACTTGAGTTGGAGTGACAGGAAACGCAATTTTTAAGAGGAAGAATGTGAGCAGAAGTGTGAGCCATAATGATGCGATGTCACGCGATAGATGACTTGCCTCGGGAGTAGCTCCAGCCGCGCGGACCGTCGCGAGGGCGACAGAAATCTCCGCGGGACTCAGCGGGTCCAGCGGATGCACTAACGGAGTCCGTCCGATGGAAACGACCTTGGAATGCGACTTGACGGGCGCTGCCAATACAGGAAACCCAATTGGTCAGACGGTTTTCTTTCAGAAAATGTATAATTTGAGACGATGCTTGAGGAATGAAAACGAGACAAAGGAGGATAACAAGGTGTATACTAGGAGTTGAGATCGCATTTAACTTACCCATTCTCATCAATGGATAACCTCACACAGGAGCGAGATGACGAGGCTAACTAACTAAACGAAAGAATGGACGAGATTGGTCCTAGAATTTATGTCGAAGGCGAACGAGAGTACCGAAGAAGAAACAAGATATCTGGTTCTGGAATAAGTAGACGCTACTCTGCGAGAAATCGCTGTGGAATGTAACACGCGACGCGACCTTGAGTGACGGGCCCGAAAAGATCGTTACCAAACGTCAGATACCCTCGCAACTGGACGCGCGGACGTGAGTACGAAGCAAACGAGCCTGGCTAGATTCTACACGGCTGATCAAGCTGCTGGGAAGCAACCACCGGCATACGCCAGCAAACGGTAGTTACCGAAGTAACTCATAAGAGGGAACCAAGAATCCAGGTTCCGAGGAATACGGTTTGGATGAGAAAGAAAATGGGATGGAAGGAAAAGAGGCGAATTCAGCTTGCTAACATCTTTGACCGCACAGAAACGTACACTTTGGGTTTTGAAGCGTGCTGCACCACGACAACCGTCAACCCAATCAGGCCAAATTCTATGGTGGCTGTCCCGTCAAGCCCTGAGAAGGGTATACCTGCAATCAAGGCATATTTTCCGAACCTCTCCCTCTGGTCTGGTTCCTCCACAGCGTTACCTCGGGGTTCGGGGATGTCGGCTTACCGCCGAGCCAAACCTGAATAGCGCCTCGGCTACTTGAATATTGACCTTGGGCTTCGTTTTCCCGCCAAGCTCCGTTGAGCCAGAGCCGTCATGTGCGGCACCAGCGCTGATTCCATACCAGACACCCGCTGAGAATTTTGTCCAATCGGCTCACAGCATGCCGACCAGACGTTCCTTTGTATAAGCCGATCCGACATTCGTAGAAACATCAACAACGACACGACGTTTTGCATCTAGGAAGGACAAACTAATAACTATATGTTTTTGATACAGCATAGAGACCACCAATGTTTTTTTGTTGATATTCCAGATATTTTATTGATTTTCATAGAAACTTTTAGTGCTTTTAAGTATGGGTGAGTGAATATGTGCAAATAATACGCAGTTTTCAAATGCTCAGCTTTAGACTAGTTATGTACATGAGAGTGTGCTGATTCTAAGCCAAAACCCACCCTGAATGTATTGTGTTTTTTGTGTGTGATAACTTGATGTACTAGCAAGATCGCGTCTGACCCTGTACACGTTGTCTGATACAATGATCAAGTTCGCCGCATTGGCTCGCGAAGAGAGCGTTCCTTCGTTCAGTTTCGGCCAACGATGGTAATGACGGTCCCGCGAAAACACCGAGGCGCGACTTGAATGGCCTTTCTGCACGTTTATGATTCGCGAGAAGATTAGAGATGAGACCAAGCCTCGGGAACAGTGGCCCGAGATTTGCAGGCCAGAATGCTTTCCGCTGTGCTCCTGTTTCTAGCCGGGTTTTGCGAAGGTCGGCTAGCTTTTCATGGCTACCTTGAGCTGCCAGCTGCAGGCCAGATTTTCCAGTATGATCGACATCGCCCAGTTGACTCGTGTAATTTTCGTTTCTCTCCCAATCGCGTCAGATGTAGCTTAGAGAAGTTCAGGTCGCGGATCGCTTGCTGATTCCCGTACAGGGATCGCTTCATTCTGACAGGGCGACTAAACCTCCTCAAGCATTAGTTTCATTGGTCAACGCAGTCCTCGAATTTCAGATGGGTAAGGTCTTAGCTGCTCTCGCAAACTCCCTGTCTCGCTATGCACCCGTTCTAGTTGGACTTACTACAGTCTTGCCCCTGAATTGGATCGATAGTGCGGCCTCGCCATCCGCTTACTGAATTGCATCGGCATTACTTACCTCGTCTTCATTCCTTTAAGCTGTTCTATGCTGGACGAAAACTCTCGCCAAGAACAATTCCCCGTTGCGCGCAGCATCCATCAAGTCGCATCCCGAGGTCGTTTCCATCGGCCGGATTCCGTTAGTGCATCCGTTGGACCCGCTGAGTCCCGCGGAGATCTCTGTCGCCATCGCGACGGTCCGTGCGGCGGTATCTTCTCCCGAGGTTAGTCCCGTGACATCACATCAGAATCGCTCACAAACCATGCCCATATATTTCCTCACGAATCGTTATCTCGTCTCAAATCGAGCCGTCCGCGAGGCTGTATCTATTTCCGAAATAGGTCACTCAACGATCCCATGGCATTTCTCACAAATTTGTGCACGTGTCTTCCCGCCGCGAACTGCCGCACCGCGTGAGACGAGACATACATTCACTTATCATGCATTTCTTTTATAATGCTGGGCCCCCTTGCAGGACATTTTGCTATATCCCCTCCATTTCCCGTATTTCGGCCATTATAACGGATGCAATCGTTTCCCCGTTTTAGCTGCGAGACGCCATCCGCTTTATCGAGGTGTCTCTTAACGAGCCACCCAAGGACGTGGTCGCCCTGGCAGACGCCTACTTCTTCCCGCCTTACCAGCACTCGGTCTACATTCCACCCTCCAACGCTCACCCTCCCACTCACAACGAACCTTCCTCCTCCTCCTCCTCCTCCTCCTCCTCCTCCTCCTCCTCCTCCTCCTCCTCCTCCTCCTCCTCCATTCCCCCCCCCTCGCCTTCTCCTGCTGACCCCTTCTCCTCACCCTCACCCCCCTCGGCCGCCTCCCCCTCCCCCTCCCCCTCCGCCTCCTCCGCCGCCTCCCCCTCTCCCAAAGCGGCTGTACTCCGCCTTCCCCCCCGGGAGGCGAGGCTGGTGACGTGGAGCAAGCTGACCAATCAGACGGCGGTGTGGGTGGTACAGCTGGCAGAGGTGCATGCGAGTCTGAGCGGGGCGCATGATGGTGGACGAATCAAATCCTGCCACGTTATGGAGGACGTTCAGCTGGCATTAGTGAGTCCTGACAAAGTTACTCGTGTCGTTCAGCCACCCATATTGTTCAGCCGCCGGCGTTGTTCAGCTTCCCATATCGTTGGCGCCCATATTGTTCAGCCGCCCATATTGTTCAGCCGCCCATGATGTTCAGCCGCCCATATTGTTCAGCCGCCCATGTTGTTCAGCCGCCCATATTGTTCAGCCGCCCATGTTGTTCAGCCGGCCATATCGTTGGCGCCCATATTGTTCAGCCGCCCATATTGTTCAGCCGCCCATGTTGTTCAGCCGCCCATATTGTTCAGCCGCCCATGTTGTTCAGCCGGCCATATCGTCAAGCCCATGTTGTTCAACCGGCCATATCGTCAAGCCCATGTTGTTCAACCGGCCATATCGTCAAGCCCATGTTGTTCAACCGGCCATATCGTCAAGCCCATGTTGTTCAACCGGCCATATCGTCAAGCCCATGTTGTTCAACCGGCCATATCGTCAAGCCCATGTTGTTCAACCGGCCATATCGTCAAGCCCATGTTGTTCAACCGGCCATATCGTCAAGCCCATGTTGTTCAACCGGCCATATCGTCAAGCCCATGTTGTTCAACCGGCCATACCGTCAAGCCCATGTTGTTCGCCCATGTCATTCAGTCGCCCATGTTATTCAGCCCATGCCATTCAGTCACCCATGTTGTTCAGACCATGCCACTCAGTCGCCCATGTTGTTCAGACCATGCCATTCAGTCGCCCATGTTGTTCAGACCATGCCATTCAGTCGCCCATGTTGTTCAGACCATGCCATTCAGTCGCCCATGTAGTTCAGCCGTGTGTAGAATCCGCTGGCCGTAACCAAAAGCATACTGTTGTAACAAGATGACATTTCCTCTCCCTCTCACCTCTTTCCTCGCCCTCTGTCCTTCTTCTTATCGTTTCGCCCCCCCCCCCCAGGACAATCAGGAATACCTAGAGTGCGAGGCGGCAGTGAAGGCACATCCGCCCTTCCAAGAGGCGATGAGGCGACGAGGAGTGGATGACATGGACCAAGTCTTGGTTGACGTGTGGTGAGTCACTGCTGGCATGTGCTGAGTCAGCAAGGGCACGAATTGGGTCAGCATGCTGCCATAGTGGCATCGCGTGATACGCTAGTGCATGCATGTACGCATGAACGGGTTGCATGGATGTATGCATGGCAGTGCATGTATCTCCTGAGCAGGAGAATCTCGCTTGAGAATCTTTGAGATTCCACTCTAACAAATTTGACTCCATAGCCTTTCATGTCGCTTTTTTTTTTTTTTTTTTTTTTTTTTCTTTCTTTTTTTCTTGTGATTCAATATAGGCAGAGCATGTATTGATTATTCTCATTAGACCCTTAGCAAATCCCCTAATTCTATCCACAATGTATCTCCCCTCCTCTATGCCCCTTCATATCTCCAGGTGTGTGGGATACTACTCCGAAGCGGACCACCCCTCTCGCCGCCTCGCTAAAACAACCATTTTCTGCCGCTGCCCCTCTGACTGTTCTTTGGACAATGCATACGCCTGGCCTGTGGAGGGCATAGACGTGTTGATTGACGTGCAGGTGAGCAGAGCACATGTACCCTCTATAAGCACTGTCTCGTTAACCTCACAAGCCCTTGTGCCCCTCTGACTGCTCCTTGGACAATGCATACGCCAGGCCTGTGGAAGTGAAACGAAACGCTGTCTCGTTAACAGCACACACGCATACCCCCCATTTCCCGCATAACCCCTTTATCCCCTATACCCCTAAACCCCGAAGCCCCTATACCCCTAAAGCCTGTATAACCTTAATACCCCTTAAAACCGCTATACACCCCATCCCCCCTGTACCCCCCCCTATACCCCTTGGATCCCATATACCCCTTAAACCCCTTATAACCCTCTATACCCCCTGTAACGACTATGCCCCCCCTTCCACCCCCCCACCCCCCTGCCCATCCCCCTGCCCATCCCCCCTCCCCCTGCCCATCCCCCTGCCCCACCCGACCCCCCTCCTAGTCTTCACTACCCAATCTTCGCTCCTCTACCCGTCCCAGCCCCTGCTGCTGGTCAGAGCATGGCAGTGATCAAGTGCGACGACAGGGAGGTCATCCCGCTGCCCCCACCTTTCCTCTTCTTAGCTTTCACTCCTTTCTCCTTACTCTTTACTCTCACCCCATCCCAAACCCATTCAGATCATGGCAGTGATCAAGTGCGAGGTCAGGGAGGTCATCCCGCTGCCCCCACCGGGCCCACTGCGCATCTACACACCAGTGGATGTCAGGATGTATGTTCTTCTCTCCCCCTCTCCCTGCTTCCTTTGCTGCCGTTACAGAGCATGGCAGTGATCAAGTGCGAGGTCAGGGAGGTCATCCCGCTGCCCCCACCTTTCCTCTTCTTAGCCTTCACTCCTTTCTCCTTACTCTTTACTCTCACCCCATCCCAAACCCATTCAGAGCATGGCAGTGATCAAGTGCGAGGTCAGGGAGGTCATCCCGCTGCCCCCGCCCGACCCACTGCGCATCTACACACCAGTGGATGTCAGGATGTATGTTCTTCTCTCCCCCTCTCCCTGCTTCCTTTGCTGCCGTTACAGAGCATGGCAGTGATCAAGTGCGAGGTCAGGGAGGTCATCCCGCTGCCCCCACCTTTCCTCTTCTTAGCCTTCACTCCTTTCTCCTTACTCTTTACTCTCACCCCATCCCAAACCCATTCAGAGCATGGCAGTGATCAAGTGCGAGGTCAGGGAGGTCATCCCGCTGCCCCCACCGGGCCCACTGCGCATCTACACACCAGTGGATGTCAGGATGTATGTTCTTCTCTCCCCCTCTCCCTGCTTCCTTTGCTGCCGTTACAGAGCATGGCAGTGATCAAGTGCGAGGACAGGGAGGTCATCCCCCTGCCCCCACCAGTCCTTTTCCTAGCCCTCACTCCTTTCCCCTTCCCTCCCTTCCTTACCCTTTCATCAGAGCATGGAAGTGATCAAGTGCGAGGACAGGGAGGTCATCCCGCTGCCCCCGCCCGACCCACTGCGCATCTACACACCAGTGGATGTCAGGTTGTATGTTCTTCTCTCCCCCTCTACCTGCTTCCTTTGCTGCCGTTACAGAGCATGGCAGTGATCAAGTGCGAGGTCAGGGAGGTCATCCCCCTGCCCCCACCAGTCCTTTTCCTAGCCCTCACTCCTTTCCCCTTCCCTCCCTTCCTTACCCTTTCATCAGAGCATGGAAGTGATCAAGTGCGAGGTCAGGGAGGTCATCCCCCTTTCCCCAGCAGTCCTTCTCCCAGCCCTCACTCCTTTCCCCTTCCCTCCCTTCCTTACCCTTTCATCAGAGCATGGCAGTGATCAAGTGCGAGGACAGGGAGGTCATCCCGCTCCCCCCGCCCGACCCGCTGCGCAACTACACGCCCGGGGCGGACAGGGGGGGCGTGGACCGCTCTGACTTGAAGCCCATAAAAATCGAGCAGCCCGAGGGGCCGAGCTTCCGAGTGAATGGCTACGCTGTGGAGTGGCAGAAGGTGCGTGGAAACGGGGGAATGCGAGTGGGTGGAGACACGGGGAGTGTTGCTGTGATGGCAGGGAGGATGCACTGTGAGTGAGCAGCCCGAGGGGCCGAGCTCACGAGTGATTGGATACGCCGTGGAGTGGCAGAAGGTAAGAGAAGGAAGTGGACCGTGTGTGTCTGTACAGGGCGTGGACCGCTGTGACTTGAAGCCCATCCGCATCGAGCAGCTGGAGGGGCCGAGCTCACGAGTGATTGGATACGCCGTGGAGTGGCAGAAGGTGAGTGGGCAAGGTGAGACGGAGGAGAGATGAGTGGTGCTGCTTCAGAGTGGCGGGGGTGGCAGAAGGTGAGTGGAAAAAAGGGATGGGATACGGGCGGGGGCGTGGACCGCTGCGACTTGAAGCCCATCAAGATAGAGCAGCCCGAGGGGCCGAGCTTTGGAGTGAATGGCTACGCTGTGGAGTGGCAGAAGGTGGGTGGAGGCGGGTTCACGCCTAAAGAAGGCCTGGTGCTGCACTCCCTAGCATACGACGATGGCAGCAGCGTCAGGAGGGGCCTCTCTTCCCCGTTTCCATCCCTTCCCTCGAATGGACCTTGTATTGATTGAACCAGGAAGGTGTTACACAGGAAGGTGCAAACGCAAGCAAGCACGAACATAACAAACGAGTGTGCTAACTAACCTCTTTCTCTCTTACCCTCCTCCCTTGCCCCACCCCCAGCCTCGACCCCACCCATTCAATCTCCAGTGAAGTTTCCGAGTAGGGTTCACGCCTAAAGAAGGCCTGGTGCTGCATTCCCTAGCGTATGACGACGGCAGCAGCGGCAGGAGGGGCATTGCGCACCGGCTGAGCTTCTGTGAGATGGTGGTGCCGTATGGCGACGAGGTGACTTCTGAGTGGACTCAAAAGTGATCCCCACGAGCGCCTCTTCACTCCCCTTACTCTCCTCCCTTCCTCCATTTTTCTCTCCCTTTCCCCCTTCCACTCTCTCCCCTACTCCCCCCAAATGCCCGCCCTCTCCTTCCCCTGCTCCTTGTTTTTTCCAGTGGAGTTTCCGAGTAGGGTTCACGCCTAAAGAAGGCCTGGTGCTGCACTCACTCTCATACGACGACGGCAGCAGCGGCAGGAGGGGCATTGCACACCGGCTGAGCTTCTGTGAGATGGTGGTGCCGTATGGCGACCCCCACGAGCCCCACTACCGCAAAAACGCCTTCGACGCCAGCGAGGACGGGCTGGGCAGGAACGCGCACTCGCTCAAGAAGGTGGGTGCTTTTGATGGTGGGGTTGCTACTGCTGCTGCTGCTGCTGCTGGTTGGGCAGGTTTGTAAATGCTTGCTGAAGAAGGTGCGGGCGGGGCTATGGGCAATTAGAGAGAAGCAAGGGAGGGAAGACGGGCTGGGCAAGAACGCCTACTCTCTAAAGAAGGTGCGTGGTGGTTCTGCTGGTGCAGAGAAGGGAGGACGGGCAGGGGAAGAATGCGCACTCGCTCAAAAAGGTGCGTGCTGTTAGAAGAGGTGGTGCTGCTGCTGCGTGTGGGGTTTCTGGTGGGGTTGCTGGTGGGGATGGTGGTGGGGTTGCTTTGGGGAAGGTGGTGGGGTTGCTATGGGGTTGCTGTGGGGTTGCTTTGGGGATGCTGGTGGGGTTGCTGTGGGGATGCCGGTGGGGTTGCTTGAAGGGCTGTGACTGCCTGGGGTTGATCCGCTACTTTGACGCGCACATGGGCGACTTCCTCACCCATCTTCCTGGTTCTGTTTTCCACCTCCACAACCCCTTCCCCTCTCCCATTCCCCATCCTTCCATCCCCCTCAGGGCTGTGACTGCCTGGGGTTGATCCACTACTTTGACGCGCACATGGGCGACTTCCTGGGCGGGATGGAGACGATCGACAAAAATCACCCTCCCTATCCCTTTTTTCCTCCCAGGGCTGTGACTGTCTGGGCTTCATCCGCTACTTTGACGCGCACATGAGCAACTTCATCGGTGGCGTGGAGACGATAGAGAACGCCGTGTGCATGCATGAGGAGGACCATGGCATGCTCTGGAAGCACGTGGACTGGCGCTCGGGGCACGCTGAAGTGAGGCGGTCGAGACGCCTGGTGCTCTCATTATTGTGCACCATAGGGAACTACGATTATGGCTTCTTCTGGTACCTCTACCAGGTAAGGGTGCTTCCTACTGGGCTTCTTTGTCTTGTCTGTGCCAAGTGCACCCACACTCTGCAGATTGCATGGTGAAAATGGCTGGTGCTCTCATTTCTGTGCACCATGGGGAACTATGACTATGGCTTCTTCTGGTACCTCTACCAGGTAAGGTAAGGGTGTGTCTACCACGGGAGCTGTGTGCCGGGCTGGCCCTTTCTGTTCTCACTCAATCACACTCACTCACCGGTGGTGGTGGGTTCGTGGGAAGACTGGTGCTCTCGTTTCTGTGCACCACTATGACTATGACTATGGCTTCTTCTGGTATCTCTACCAGGTAAGGGGTTGTCAAAAGGTGACTTTTGAGTCGACCCAAAAGTCACCTCGTTGCAATGGCACACGACACATTTTGAGTCGACTCAGAAGTTACGACTGTGGCTTCTTTTGGGACATTCACCAGGTAAGGGGCTGTCAAAAGCGGACAGGTGGGCTGCGGAGGCCTTATTTCCATCAACTCGTGCTGGTTTAGGACAACGAGACAAACCCCATGGAATGATGGCGGAAAAGAGCATGGTAACGCGCTAGCTTAGAACGTTTTTTAGAGAGCCAGTATGGATCAAATCTTCGCTATAGTACATCTACCAGGTAAGGGTGTTTTCTACGGGGAGAACACTTGTTTATTGACTGGCCTAGCAGGCTAGCCCTGTCAGTTTCAAACGAGCGAACTCACACACTGGTCGGAAGGCTGGTGATGTTGCTTCTGTGCAACCGTGCCAACCCCCCAAATAGTCACAGCCCTGAGACGCCAGGCAGTCACGGTGCTAGCGAATTGTTACATTCCAGCGAGCAACAGGAATGGCTAACAATTCGCTAGCACCCTTGCGAACCCCCCCGGTAGTCACAGCCCTGAGATGCCAGGCAGTCACCTTGTTCCTTACCCCCCCCCCCACCCCCTTTACCTCTTACTCTCCCTTCTCTCTTCCTCACCCCTCCCTACCCCTCTGGTGTTGTTGCTTCTGTGCACCCTTGCGAACCCCCCAGGTAGTCACAGCCCTGAGACGCCAGGCAGTCACAATGTTCATTACCCCCCCACTCCCTTTGCTCCCCCACTCTCCCTTCTCTCTTCCTCACCCCTCCCTACCCCTCAGGACGGGAAGATCGAGGCTCAAATCAAGCTGACAGGGATCTTATCAGTGGGCGCGTTGAGGGAGGGCGAGGAGCGGAGGTACGGCACGCTGCTGGTGTCGAGGCTGTACGCTCCCATCCACCAGCACTTCTTCGTGGCTCGCATGGACATGGCTGTTGACTGCCGCCCGGGGGAGGCTGCTAACCAGGTGAGTGGGGAAATGGGATACACAGTAAGGGGTGCTGTGCTCAACGCACCTGGGCTCATCTGTGTACGTCCATCCATCCACCAGCACTTCTTTGTGGCTCGCATGGACATGGCTGTGGACTGCCGCCCGGGGGAGGCTGCTAACCAGGTGAGTGGGGAAATGGGATACACAGTAAGGGGTGCTGTGCTCAACGCACCTGGGCTCATCTGTGTACGTCCATCCATCCACCAGCACTTCTTTGTGGCTCGCATGGACATGGCTGTGGACTGCCGCCCGGGGGAGGCTGCTAACCAGGTGAGTGGGGAAATGGGATACACAGTAAGGGGTGCTGTGCTCAACGCACCTGGGCTCATCTGTGTACGTCCATCCATCCACCAGCACTTCTTCGTGGCTCGCATGGACATGGCTGTGGACTGCCGCCCGGGCGAGCAGGCTAATCAGGTGAGGGCGTTAGGAGGATACATGGCGAGGCAAGGCGTTTGGTTGCTGCACGAGATGCCGCTAGTGCTCGCCCTCTCTGCCGCCATCCATCCATCCACCAGCACTTCTTCGTGGCTCGCATGGACATGGCTGTGGACTGCCGCCCAGGGGAGCAGGCCAATCAGGGGGGCTGGTAAGGTCAACCAGGTGCGTTGGCAATTGAGAATTACGTTACTGCAGTTGACACACCTCTACAGTAATGCTCACTGTGAGTCCATGTCCATGCATCCGCCACCACTGGTTTGTTGCTCGCATGGACATGGCTGGAGCAGGCCATCCAGGTGAGTGGGGGAGAGGGAGGGATACATGGCAAGGGGTGCTGTGCTCAACGCACTTGCGATCACCTGTGTATGTCGATCCATCCACCAGGACTTTTAGTTGATCTTGGGACATTTTCCAGTGAGCAGCAGCGCTTAGGTTCAGGCTTAAGCAAGTAGGAAAAAACAGTGTAAATCTAACACTAGCTAATAGGCGAGAGTCTCCTCAACGCACTTGGGATCACCTGTGTACGTATGTCGATCCATCCACCAGGACTTTTATTTTCGAGTCGACTCAAAAATAGACTCAACTGCTAAGCCTAGACTTCACAACTGCTGCTCTCTGAGGAAAATGACTTAATTACTGAACTTTATATCGATCCAACCACCAGGATTTTTTTTTTTTTTTTTTTTTTTTCCTTGGCTCGCATAAACATGGCTGTGGACTGCCGCCCGGATGGAACAGGGAAGGCTCCCAGAACCCTCACCTCCCTCTCCCTTACCCCACTTTGTTGATTCGTTCACGTCAGATGGTGCAGGTGCATGTGAGGATGGAAGGTGAGGGTCTGCACAACCCACGTGCACATGCGGCCATGTGCCCTCAATTCACGCTGCTTCCCTTCCCTCCTCTTCTCCCCACCCTTGTCAGTAACGGACAGAACCGTGTTGATAGAAGTAAGGCCTCCGCAGCCCACCTGTCCGTTTCTGACACATGCAGCCATGTGCCCTCTATTCACGCTGCTTCCCTTCCCTCCTCTTCTCCCCACCCTTGTCAGTAACGGACAGAACCGTGTTGATGGAAGTAAGGCCTCCGCAGCCCACCTGTCCGTTACTGACACATGCGGCCATGTGCCCTCTATTCACGCTGCTTCCCTTCCCTCCTCTTCTCCCCACCCTTGTCAGTAACGGACAGAACCGTGTTGATGGAAGTAAGGCCTCCGCAGCCCACCTGTCAGTTACTGACACATGCGGCCATGTGCCCTCTATTCACGCTGGTTCCCTTCCCTCCTCTTCTCCCCACCCTTGTCAGTAACGGACAGAACCGTGTTGATGGAAGTAAGGCCTCCGCAGCCCACCTGTCCGTTACTGACACATGCGGCCATGTGCCCTCAATTCACGCTGGTTCCCTTCCCTCCTCTTCTCCCCACCCTTGTCAGTAACGGACAGAACCGTGTTGATGGAAGTAAGGCCTCCGCAGCCCACCTGTCCGTTACTGACACATGCAGCCATGTGCCCTCTATTCACGCTGCTTCCCTTCCCTCCTCTCCCCCCCACCCTCCTCCCACCCCTCCCCTATATCAGGTTCTGAGAGTTGAGACGGAGGGCATCCATAACCCACTTGCGAGGTGACTTTTGAGTCGACTCAAGAGTTGAGACAGAGGGCAGCCATAACCCACTTGCGAATGCTTTCTGTGCGGAGGAGAGGGTGCTTTGGGGGAAAGCAGTGCAAATGCGGCCAGGCTTCTTCTATATGCAGATACCCCTTTCTTCCACCCACTGCTCCTCTCTGCCCGTTCTCCCGGTGTATATTAGGTGGTGGCGGAGGTGAACGTGAGGGCGGAAGGGGAGGGCCCGCACAACCCCCGCGCGAATGCCCATTCCCTCACTATGCGTGAACACACTGCCTCCACCCGCCTTCCCCCTACCCCCCTATCCCCATCATCAGGTGGTGGAGCTGAACGTGAGGGCCGAAACAGAGGGTCCCCACAACCCACATGCAAATGCCTTCTATGCGGAGGAGAGTGTGCTTCGGACAGAGGGCGAAGGCATGAGAGACGTGAATCCTCTCTCTGCTCGCCACTGGCTGGTGAGTGAGTGAAGGAGGAAGGGCAGAGGCGGAGAGCCCGCACCAAAGCGAGTGCCTTCTATGCGGAGGAGAGTGTGCTTCGGACAGAGGGCGAGGGGGTGAGAGATGTAAATCCTCTCTCTGCTCGCCAGAGGGCGAGGGGGTGAGTGGGGGAAGGAGGAAGGGAGTTAGTGAGGGAGAGAGTGAGGGAGTTTCACAGACACAAAGATCCCTCACTCTGACCTACAGCTGGAAAGACAGGGCCCGCGTTGCCATTTGATTATAATCAAATTCTGACACTTCTCTGTTTTCACTTCACTAGATACCTTCAAAGTGCCATTCCCACCACTGATGGTCGTTTTCCATTGATTTGTCACTTCTCCCATTTCTCGGTTTGCCCGTTTCTTTGTGGGACAAATCTTCCTTCCTCCCGACACACGGGCAGATCCGTAACACTCGGGCAGTCAACCGGGCAGGTCGACCACAGCCTTTAAGCTCCTGCCGGGGACCAATTGCCTGCCCCTCGCACTGCCCAAGGCGAAATTTCTCCGCCGGGCAGCTTTCCTGAAGCACAACCTGTGGGTCACGCCGTACCACCCAGAGGAACGGTTTCCGGGTGGCGAGTTCCCGAACCAGAACCCCAGGGTCGGCGATGGGCTGCCTTTGTGGGTGCAGCAGAACAGATCAATCGACAATGCTGACGTGGTGCTTTGGTAAGTGATGCGTTTGTGAGGGACAAGTGGTGAGTCTGTTTTTATAGTTTGTGCCCAGTAGGTGATGCTTTGTTAGTGGTGGTGCTTTGGTAAATGCCCTCAAAGGTGTATTGCTGGACCATAGTAAGTGATGCTTGGCTAGTATTGCTGGCTTCCCCCTAGAGGCTTGTTTCTGGAGACAATGGTTTGGTTTCTTTCTCACCTTCTGTCCTGTTGTCAACATGCAGCACTCAACCCTTTGTGATGTAGAGGGGACGTATTCAGCCTCACGGACGTGCTGAGGCTAGAGGACTGGTCACTGTGAGGCGCCCTCAAATGCAAGTTAGTTTTGTAGAGCCTTGTCTTGGGTCTCAATAGACTGTTGGACACAACAACCTTTGTTGGACTCACCTTTGTTCCTGTTCCCACTGTCCCATGCTCACACCCTTGTGATGTGTAGGTACGTGTTCGGAACACACAGGTGCCGAGGTTAGAGGACTGGTCATCGTGAGGAGCCCTCATAAGGGCACGCCTACTCACCTTTGCTTCTATTCCATTGTCCTGCGCGCAATCCTTGTGATGTGAAGGTACGTGTTTGGACTCACCCATGTGCCGAGGCTGGAGGATTGGCCCGTCATGCCATGCGAATACATCGGCTTCAGCCTCATGGTGAGTGAATGGGTTGCTCTGATGGGGAGTTGGTGGCTTGTGAGGCGCTTCAAGGCTACGTGTTCGGACTCACCCACGTGCTGAGACTAGAGGATTGGCCAGTCATGCCGTGCGAATACATCGGCTTCAGCCTCATGGTGAGTGAATGGTCTTCCTGTCGTTGTTATTGCATGGGTTGCTCATGGGGAGTCGATGGATTCTGAGTTGCTTCGAAGGTACGTGTTTGGACTGACCCATGTGTTAAGGCTGGAGGATTGGCCTGTCATGCCATGCGAATACATCGGCTTCAGTTTCATGGTGAGTGAATGGTTTGCTAGTGGGGTGCCTTCAGTAACGGCCGTTCGTATTTTTTTTAGATTCTGCGGGAGTCGAGGGCTTGTGCGGCGTCAACTAGATTGACCCACGTGCCTAGGCGGGAGTGAATGGTCTGCTCCTGTGGAGTAAGTGGGTTGTGAGGCTCTCTAAAGATGTATGTTTGAACTGAACCACGTGCTGAGACTAGAGGATTGGGACACGCCATGCGATTACATAGGCTTCTGCCTCATGGGGAGTAGGTGCACTCAGTGGATACATGCTTGGGACCACCCCAAGACAGGAGGATTGTCCTGTCATGCCATGTGAGTGCATGGGATTTTGCCTCATGGTGAGTCAACGAGTTGTTCTGACTAAGCGAATTACAATTTGCAACCCACCTCGTACACAACAACATCTTCTCCGTATGGTGAACCGGTGTCTTGCATTACTATAGTATGCAATTTTCTTTCCCTTTACTTTTATGCCACCTCAATCTGCTGCCATGTGTGCAGCCACATGGATTTTTCGATGTATCACCTGCGCTTGATGTTCCTCCCTCCGAACCTGAAAATTTAGCTACCGGAAGTTTCGTGACGTAATCTACGAGTAAGGCACTCAGTGGATACATGCTTGGGACCACCCCAAGACAGGAGGATTGTCCTGTCATGCCATGTGGGTGCATGGGATTTTGCCTCATGGTGAGTCAACGAGTTGTTCTGACTAAGCGAATTACAATTTGCAACCCACCTCGTACACAACAACATCTTCTCCGTATGGTGAACCGGTGTCTTGCATTACTATAGTATGCAATTTTCTTTCCCTTTACTTTTATGCCACCTCAATCTGCTGCCATGTGTGCAGCCACATGGATTTTTCGATGTATCACCTGCGCTTGATGTTCCTCCCTCCGAACCTGAAAATTTAGCTACCGGAAGTTTCGTGACGTAATCTAGCATTAAACATATTGAAAACAACTGTTGCATCAGAATGCCCGAATAAAATCTAACATAGCTCTAAGCATGTGCTATCATTGTGCTAGATGTGCCCAATTCCTCTTCAAAGTTGAGATGCACCAGGATAAACTTAAGGTGACTTGTGATAGTTCAGTTTTAAACTTAAGGTGACTTGTGATAGTTCAGTGGTTCGTAACCAGGAACCTTATACAGCGTACGAGGACGTCCGCTTCATAGAGGTTCTGTGGGGTGCAAGATAGTCCATTGAGGTCAACATGGTGGAGCATCGCACGACAGGCAAAATAATTCAGACCAGCCCCGAATGAAGCATACTCTTTAGAAGCCAATCTGACACAAGTCCGAATTAAATATCTATCCCAACAGCACAGACCTCTCTCCCCAACAACACAAACACAAGATCCAAACCGCCAAGATTGAGTCCGTGTTCTGTTGCTTCGGAACAACCAATGGCCTGCAGAAACAAATCTGAACCAGAAAGAAAGAAACGAACAGAAACATAGGCAGAATGAGATTCCATTTCCCGTTCGGACACCATCCGAAGTTCGGCCACGCGGTGCGCAGTTTCAAATATGGCATTTCAATGTTGGTCCACGCGGTCCGAAGTCTGGACACTCTGGTTTCAGTCGGCCACCGAGCGTGCGATTAACGTGCACGTCAACTATCGAAGTGTGCGATCGTTTAACAAACCATTGATTTCAATGAACACTCTCTGTTTTGTCCCTATCCTGTTTTGTTGTCTGTCCAATCCGAATAAATTAATCACATATCGCTTATATAGCAAACATGCAGCCCGAAATTGGCTACCCACGTTTTTTTAAATGCCCGATACTCAGTTTTGGTCGTTAGCAGTTGACACTACCAGTGTGTAATGCGTCATACTCTGATTGGTTGCGAACCCAAGCGACACGCACGACACTCGTCGCATTCCAGACCTACCAAATGTCCAAGATGGGGCCCTGCCCCACACAGACACCATCCTCGCGCCAAAACACCTTCAGGTGGGCGAACTTCGGATGGTGTCCGAACGGGGTAATCTGAGCTGCCATTGAGAAACAACAAGTGCTTGTCACTTGCGAATTCAACTGAAACGAAATGCGACCTCGAAATAGTAGCTTGATGTTCATCCATGTCGGTGCTCGAGTAGTGTAGTTCGAAACAGGTGAGCGGAAATACCTTTTTTTCCCAACAGCTCCCACCCAACTTCATTTTGCGACGCCTTCATTCTCGGTCTGGATTACGATTTAGTTTACATAGACGCTGGTTTGTGAAGCGGGATCACAGGTATCTCATAAGACTGTGCTCCTGCCTTAATCCGAGTTTGTACAGTTTACGGAACGAGATACTAACAGTGCCTAATGGCGACATGACGAGTACTTAGTGACACGTCCAGTTGTGGCGTTTAATCCACATGCGTCCAGTCGTAACGTTTAATCCTCTCGCGTATCTTGACATGCCGTTACGAACATGAGATGTTAGGAATAGAAGCTCCTGCTATATCAATCCGTCCGACGACTGAGTCACTCGCGACGCGGCGCTGTTGAACAAAAATAGAGAGTAAAATAGAAGGAACAAACGGTCCTGTGGATATCCTTTAGAGCCTCCTCAGAAAAGAGCTATAGCGATATTTTCTTGGTTGGCCCAATAGCCCCGCTCGGTCGTCTCAGTCAACCTCCAAGCGCGTGTATCCCTGTCAAGCTCTGCCACGTGGCGTATGTGGCAGAGCTGGCCTGGCGCAATCTGATTGGTCCCACTGGCGTTCAGACGGGCGTGTGAATCCTTTCATAGCTCGTCGAGCTCGACTCATATCTTTTCGAATCCTTTGCGGAGGCCCCTTTGGAGAATTCGAATTCTCAAAAGCAACACCAACTTCGCGGTTGCCCAGCGGCGTTCAGACGGGCGTGAGAATCCTTTTACAGCTCGTCGAGCCCGACTCATATCACGCGTTGGCTTGCCAAACACGCCTTTGCGAAGGCCCCTTTGGAGAATTCGAATTCTCAAAAGCAACACCAACTTCGCAGAGGCCCGACGAGCAAAGATACACCTCGGCTTGCCAGCCATGTTGGATCAGATCGTGAACCTGGTCATCCGGCCTCCTCGGTACGGTTTGTCGTTTCTGGCTTCGGTAAGGGGTATACCCGTTAGTTGCAGACACGCCTTGACTTGCCAGCCATGTTGGATCAGACCGTGAACCTTCTTACTCCGGCCTCCTCGTGTACGTTTGTCGTTTCTGGCGTCGGTAAGAGATATACCCGTTACTAGCAGCCGCGCGCCAGCTATATTGGGTCAGATCTGGAATCTGGTGAGCCGACCTTCTTGGTATGGTACGGGGAGTACCCAAGAAAGCCGGCTCACCACGTTCAGGATCCGACCCCTTTTTAGAATCCTAAAAAAATGCTCACTGGGCTCAGGATGTGACCAAACAACATATCTGCCAAGCGGCCTTCGTGGTATGCTATGGGGAGTGCTCTTAGTAAGATTTGACTCAGCTTCTCCCCTCCTTCCCTCCTTCGCCCCCTCCCCACACCGCACAGTGCAGAGTACTCATAGCGACAGCTTCTCCTCCCTCCCTCCCTGCCTGCCCTCTTATGGAGAGTACCCATGGTGGAATCTGTCTCATCCCCTCCTTCCTCCCCCTTCCTCCTCCTCCCGCCCCCCTCCCCCCTCTCGCTCCCACCGCACAGTGCGGACTATTCTGTAGAGATAGACCTGGTGGGAACTCTCTTTTTATTCAGTAGGAAATTTCGAGGCGGCTCGAAACCTTCCTCCCCCCTCCCCCCCCCCCCCTTCACCCCCCAACCCCCCTTTCCTTCCTCCATCCCACCACACACACAGTGCGGATGTTCAGTAGAGACAGGCTTCGTAGGCCTACTCTTTGCAGTCAGAGGAGCTCTGAGGCGCGTCAAGACCCCTCCCTTCATCCTGCCCTCCCTCCCTCCCTCCCTCCCTCCCTCCCTCCCTCCCCTATTCCACCCTTCCGCGCAGTGCGGAGTATTCAGTACAGACAGACCTGGTGGGGCCGCTCTTTGCGCTCAGAAGAGTTCTGAGGCACCACACAACCCCTCTACCTCCCCCTTCCTCCTCACCCCAACACACAGTGCGGAGTATTCAGTACAGACAGACCTGGTGGGCCCACTCTTTGCTCAGAGGAGTTCTGAGGCGCCTCTAAACCCCTCCCTTCATCCTGCCATCCCTCCTTCCCCCCCTCCCTCCCCCTCTTCTTCACTCACTTGCAGTGCGGAGTATTCAGTACAGACAGACCTGGTGGGCCCACTCTTTGCACTCAGGGGAAGGCAATACCGCCGCCACGACCTTCAGGTGCGATGCTGCAGCAATGAGCTCAGGAATAGCTCGTGGCTTCTAGATTACTTCGCCAGGCCAGGTAACTTTGGAGTTGTTCATCCCGTTTGAATATTCCCATCTCTGTTTTTGGATTCGCATCCTGCAGGTTCTGTATTTTCGCTTTCGCCCCCGCGAGTTTGTTGGGTCAGCAAGTTTAATTTCCTCTTTTCGGTACCGTGCAGTGCAGGGTTATTATGAGTTTTGGACGTCAATTTAGCCCTGGCCTCAGTAGCGCTGTTAATTGGCTTTAATGTGCATGCCTGCGGATGCCAAAGTCTCCTCCCCCATCCAGCTGCCACCGTAACCCCAGCATGTGCTAGAGTGTCAGGAAAACGGCTCCCTTCCTCTCCTACTTTAGACCTCTCTTCCACCCCCCCGCCCCACTCCTCTCCCCCGCCTCCCCATCCGCCTTCTCAGCTTGTGAATACCCGAGGCCACGTGCTAGAATGCAGTCAGTATCGGGCAATCCCCCGTTTCCTCCTCCACCCGCCCCTCATCTCCCCCTTCTCAGCTTGTGAATACCCGAGGCCACGTGCTAGAATGCAGTCAGTATCAGGCCAACCCCCCCTCCCTCTCCCACCCTTCTTCTCCCCCATTTCTCCCCCTTTCCCTCCTCTCCCCGCTCTCAGCTTGTAAATAGCCGAGGCCACGTGCTAGAATGCAGTCACTACGTGCCGGCCCACATCCCGCCCAATCAAAAGCTGCCATGTGTCATCTACTGCCATGGGAACAGGTGCGGCTGCTGCCTGCTTGTTCTTTGTTGATTACAGTCCAGATTCTGCCATCCGCATTGTGCCATCCGCATTCTGCCATCCGCATTGTGCCATCCAGATTGTGCCATCCAGATTGTGCCATCCAGATTGTGCCATCCAGATTGTGCCATCCAGATTGTGCCATCCAGATTGTGCCATCCAGATTGTGCCATTCAGATTGTGCCATTCAGATTGTGCCATTCAGATTGTGCCATTCAGATTGTGCCATTCAGATTGTGCCATTCAGATTGTGCCATTCAGATTGTGCCATCCAGATTGTGCCATTCAGATTGTGCCATTCAGATTGTGCCATTCAGATTTTGACTTGGACACCCCCGCACCTCCGTTTTCACTCCCTCTTCATCCCCCATCTCCCTCCCACCCCCCCCGCCCCCTTCCAGTGGCTGCCGTGCCGACGCCAGTGAAGCAGTGTTTGTGCTTCTTCCATCCAACATCACAGTCTTTGCTCTCGACTTCTCGGGATCAGGCATGTCCCAAGGGGACTATGTCACGCTGGGGAGATTCGAGGTACGAAGAGGGTGTTTTTGAGTGAGTGGTAAATGCGTATCATGTATCGTTTGAGGTCCAAGCAGTGTCCCATCCAACATTACCGTCTTTGCTCTCGACTTCTCGGGCTCGGGCATGTCCCAAGGGGACTATGTCACGCTGGGGAGATTCGAGATAACTCAAAGGGGTTTCCTAATGCAAAGGCGGTACTTAATTCAAAGCCATGTTTGTGCTGCTCCCATCCAACATCACCGTCTTTGCTCTCGACTTCTCCAAAGGTTCGAGGTAAGAGGGGTTTATTTATCTATACAGGTTTTTTTTTTCCACCTGTACAGGAATTAAAGCTGCGTTTTTGTTGCTGTTGCTTCCATCGAACGTCACATTCTTTGCTCTCTACTTCTCGGGATCAGGCATGTCTCAAGGGGACTGTTACCCTGGGAAGGTTCGAAGTATGAAGAGGGTTTCTATTCTGTAAAAGTGTCGTTGGGTTGGACCTTACCCGGTTACCAGGCAAACACGAAGCCCATGGTAGGGTGGTGCATGATCTTAGGCACGTCAAAACTCGTCTTATGTCACGAAAACCCCCCTGGTAGGATACCAGACGTGACGTGGATCGTACCAGCTTGCCAGCATCACGGTCCTTGCTCTGCTCCTCTGCTCCTCTGTTCCTCTGCTTTTCTGCTTCTCTGCTCCTCTATTCCTCTGCTTCTCTGCTTCTCTGCTCCTCTACTCCTCTATTCCTCTGCTTCTCTGCTTCTCTGCTCCTCTACTCCTCTATTCTCTGCTTCTCTGCTTCTCTGTTTCTCTGCTTCTCTACTCCTGTACTCCTCTGCTCCTCTCCTCCTCCATCTGAACACGTGGGGAGAGGGTGAGAAGCAGAAGAAAAGGGGAGAAGAGGGGCAGAGGAGCAGAAAAGAAGAGGAGCAGAGGAACAGAGGAGCGGAGGAACAGAGGAGCAACAGTAGTGGACCATCTACACGCGTCGGAGGGCAATGCAATGTGTCGCCTTCCTCTCGTTCTTGATCCTGCTCTGCTTCTCACTCATCCACACTTGCTGCCCCACCACCAACCTATCTGTTCCCTCCCCACGAGGATCTCTCAACAGTCATGGATCATGTACGAGCAGAGGGCTCTGTGTCGCTCCTCTCACACTCACAACCTCTTGCTGATTTTCTGTTGTACTGCTGCGGTTATTCCCTTCTCTCCCCTCCCCTCGTGTCAGATGGAGGATCTCACAACAGTGGTGGACCATCTACGAGCCGAGGGCTCTGTGTCGCTCATCGGCCTGTGGGGGAGGTCAATGGGGGCTGTTACCTCGTGAGTGAAGAAAAAACCAACAAATATTGGAGTAGGGGGCGGGGGGGGGGGAGGTTCTAGTGGGGGCGACGGAGCACTGGGCTGGGGGAGGCTCAGAGGGGAGTATGGGAGGGCTCTGTGTCGCTCATAGGCCTGTGGGGGCGGTCAATGGTGGCTGTTTCCTGTTACCTCGTGAGTGAGGGAGGAGAGGAAGGAGAGGGAAGAAAGGGCAATGGGTAGGGGGGCTGCAAGGAAACATGGAAGTAGGAGGTAGGAAAACTCTGTGTCGCTCATAGGCCTGTGGGGGCGAGCTATGGTGGCTGTTTCCTCAAGAAAAAAACATTCCGCATTCTATAGATTTTTTCATTCTGCAGTTAAGTGAGGAGAGGTGGAGGGTCTTCTGTCATGCATATGTCTGTGGAAGAGCTTATCAATCTTTCCCCACATTCCTGTCTTATTATATACGCAGCAAAGGATCCGTCTATAGTGGGGATGGTGCTGGACAGCCCGTGCTAAGTTGCGTCTGTCTTTCTGTAAAATCTCCCTATGTGCACTCTCCAGCCTTATGTGCGCAGCAAGGGATCTGTCTATAGCCGGGATGGTGCGGGACACGCTGTATCCAGTTGTATCCCGTCTCCTCCTCCACCAAACCGGTGTTTCCCCCTATTGCTTTTCCTACATGCGCTCTCCAGCCTAATGTACGCAGCAAAGGATCTGTCTATAGCGGGGATGGTCCTGGACAGCCCTTTGTAACTGCTGTCCCTCTCCCCTCCGCCCCCCCCTCCTTTTATTCCTATTGCTTTTCCCGCATGCCCTTCTCAGGCTCATGTACGCAGCAAAGGATCTGTCTATAGCGGGGATGGTCCTGGACAGCCCGTTTTCCAACCTGCCCAACCTCATCCTGGAGCTCGTGGACACCTTCAAGATCAAGCTGCCCAAATTCACGGTCAGTTGGAAAATTTGTGCTTGTTTAGTGTTTTTTTTTTAATCCTACAGCTGCAATCCTACAGTCCCTTGGCTTTACCCCCTCCCGTTTCCCAACCACAGGTGAAGATGCTGGTGTATTACCTGCGGAATCTGATGAAGAAGAAGGTACCGGATTTCGATATCAACGACCTGGATGCCGTGGGCGTGGCAAAGAGCAGTTTCATCCCGGTGCTGTTTGGGCATGCCTGTGGTGTGAGGGGGGCTTCATTTTTCTAATGCTGTTGTGCCCCTGAGATCCTGCATTGCGCCCCCCCACTCGTCTCCCACAGGTGAAGATGCTGGTGTATTACTTACGGAACCTGATCAAGAAGAAGGTACCGGATTTCGACATCAACGATTTAGACGCTGTGGGCGTGGCGAGGAGCAGCTTCATTCCGGTGCTGTTTGGGCATGCCTCGGGAGACACCTTCATTCTGCCACATCACTCGCAGCAAATACACGAGGCCTATGCGGTGGGTATGACATGTGGCGAGGTTAGGTCCGGTTGGGTGCGGTTTTATGCGGTCAGGTGCGGTTGTTATGTAGTGAGAAGCAACAGCTTCATTCCGGTGCTGTTTGGACATGCCTCGGGAGACACCTTCATTCTGCCGCACCACTCGCAGCAAATACACGAGGCTTACGCGGTGGGTGTATAGTGAGGTCAGAGACCGTCGGATACGGTTGTCTGCGGTTGTACGTGTTTAAATACGGTCGTATGTAGTGAGCAGAAGCTTCATCCCGGTGCTGTTTGGGCATACCTCAGTAGACACCTTCATTCTGCCGCACCACTCACAGGGCGACAACAAGAACCTCATAACCTTTGCCAGGGACCACAACTCTTACCGCCCCAACTTCCACCCTTTTCCATTCCATGCCACCACCTCACCTCCCTGCCTCCTCTCCCCTCAGGGAGACAAGAATCTGATCACCTTTGCCGGGGACCACAACTCCCACCGCCCCAACTTCTTCCATTCGGCCCTCTCCCCTTCCCACCCTGCCTCGCCTCGTTCCCCTCCCTCCTTCGCTCCCTTCCCCCACACGCAGGGTCACAAGAATCTGATCACACCGCGGGGGACCACAACTCCCACCGCCCCAACTTCTCTCCTTGCCCATTCCATCCCACCACCTCACTTCCCTGTCTACTCTCCCCTCCTTTCCTCCCTGCCCCGCAGGGCGACAAGAATCTGATCACCTTCGCTGGGGACCACAACTCCCACCGCCCCAACTTCTTTTACGACTCGGCCTCCATCTTCCTGCACAACGTGCTGCTCCCACCGCCCATACAAGAATCCTCAACGTCTCCCCTCCCCTTTCTCGCAGGGTGACAAGAATCTGATCACCTTCGCGGGGGACCACAACTCCCACCGCCCCAACCATTTCCATTCGGCCCTCTCCCCTTCCCACCCTGCCTCGCCTCGTTCCCCTCCCTCCTTCGCTCCCTTCCCCCACACGCAGGGTGACAAGAATCTGATCACCTTCGCGGGGGACCACAACTCCCAACCCCCCACTTCTTCTACGACTCGGCCTCCATCTTCCTTCACAACGTGCTGCAGTGCAGCCACCGCCCATAGAGGAGCCTTTGGGTTCAGGGTTCACGGTTTAGGGTTTTGAGAAGCGATTTCAACGGCACGGTCCTCCACTGTCCCTCTTCCCCCTCTCCCCTCCCTCTCCCCTCCCTCTCCCCTCCCTCTCCCCTCCCTCTCCCCTCCCTCTCCCCTCCCTCTCCCCTCCCTCTCCCCTCCCCTTTCTCTCAGGGTGACAAGAATCTGATCACCTTTGCTGGGGACCACAACTCCCACCGCCCCAACTTCTTCTACGACTCGGCCTCCATCTTCCTCCACAACGTGCTGCAGCCGCCCCCCATAGAGGAACCCCCCGCCTCCTCCCTCTATAGTCACATCCCTGGGGGGTCTGATGCGCAACAGCCAGTGCCGCGTGCTGCTTATGGTGGTGCTACACTCACTGCTGCTGCTGGTGCCGGTGCTGTTGGTGGTGGTGCTTTTGGCGGTGGTGGTGGTGGTGGTGGTGGTGGTGGGGTATCAGGCAGGAGTACAAGAGCCGATGTCCCTCCAAGTGCTGACGAGTTGAACCCTCCACACACCACCTACCAGCGCCCACCCCCCGTTGCTGAGGTTCGTAATTGACTTGCTGTGGGAGCACTGATTTTGTTTGTGTTGCGGGGTGGCCAGTGTTGAAATCTGAGTCGACTCAAAAGCGCCCACCCCCCGTTGCTGAGGTATGTGATTGACTTGCTGTGGTTGCACTGATTCTGTTTGTGTTGCGGTTGGCCGGTCTTACCTGAGTCGCCTCCCCTTCCGTCCCGCTTACGGCCAGCACTTCTGAGAATTCTCAGAACTGACTCCCATTTTGCTGCGAGATGGGCGGCCTCGGTTATGCATCCCTGCCCGTCCTTCCCTTCCTACCCCTCCTGCCCGTCACTCCGTTCCTGCTGCTCCTCTCTGTCAATCTGCGTGCCTTTCCCTCCTATGCACAGCCTGCAGACGACCTACTGAGCAGTCAGGAGTTGGGCGCGCCTCACTTATGCAACCCTGCCCGTCCGTCCCTTCATTCCATTCCTGCCGCTCCTCCCCGTCTATCTTCTTGCCTTCCTTGCCTCTGTGCGGCCTGCAGAAGATCCACTGAGCAGTGAGGAGTTGGCGCACTTCACTTACACATCCCTGCCTGCCCGTCCCTCCCTTCCTACCCCCTCCTCGTTCTTTCTGTTCCTGCCGCTGCTCCCCTCCCCATCTATCTTCTTGCCTTCCCCGCCTCTGTACACCCTGCTGACGATCTACTGAGCAGTGGAGATTTGGCGCGCTCAGAGAGATTTGCCTTCCGCTCCATGGCAACTTTTGCTCGCTCGCTTGGACTTCCCCCCCTCACACACCCTACCCTTCGTTTTCTCTCTGCCTCTCCCTCTCTGCCTTCGTTTTCTCTCCCTCTCTGCGTCTCTGCCTCTCTGCGTCTCTCCCTCTCTCCCTCTCTGCCTCTCCCCCCGTCCCCCGTTGTTCCTGTGCACAGCCAGCAGATGAGCTACTGAGCAGCGAGGAGTTGGCGCGCTTCATGGCACATTTTGCTGCTTCCGTGCCGCCTGGAGAAGAGGTGAGAGGCAGGCAGGTTGAGAGGAGGAAGAAGGGGGGATAGAGGAGATGAGGTGAGAGAGGAAAAGAGGTGAGTGCAAGACCAGTTGGTCTTTTGAGCAGTGAGGAGTTGGCGCGCTTCATGGCTCAGTCTGCTGCCTCCGTGCCGCCTGGAGAAGAGGTGAGAGGAGTGAGAAGAGGAGAGAGGAGAAAAATTGAGGGATGGAACGAGAAGGAAGGGGTAAGAGAGGAAGTGAGAGAGAAGACAAAATGTTTTCAACGAGTCTTTGAGCTAGCGAGAGCTTAGCTACGGGGTGTCTCAAAACATTAGTGTTTGTGAGAGACGAGGTTGTGGCAATCTGAGAATGTTTTGAGACAAGTTGCCCTTGAAGCTGGATGAACAGCTAGTACTGCATTCTTCACTTCCGTACTGAATGTTCTTTCATCGTGTCTCCTTCTGACGTATCACAGAGGTGCCGTTTTTTTCTTGACTCGTATTAGAAGGGCAGCAGAGTGTGAAGTTAACGCTAGCTTGAGCAATAGGATCAACAGTGTTGATCCTTCTGACGTATCACAGAGGTGCCGTTTTTTTCTTGACTCATATTAGAAGGGCAGCAGAGTGTGTCGCTAGCTTGAGCAATAGGATCAACAGTGTTGATCCTTCTGACGTATCACAGAGGTGCCGTTTTTTTAACGTCCAACAATCTCTTTCCAATATTGAAGTACTGTTTCACAAACGCCCCACCCCACCCCACCTTTCCTTACCCCAAAACGTTTCAGCTTGCTCCCGGACTGGAAGACGACTATGATGAGGATGAGGTGAGTAGATGATGACTTTCATGTTACCGTAACATGCATGTCGATCCCGTATACACCTCAGCGTTTTAGCTCCTTCAACTTCCTGTGTGATGAGTCTGTTTTGAGTCGACTAAAAAACAGAATCTTGTATACACCTCAGCGTTCTAGCTCCTTCAACTTCCTCTTCACCAATAGTTTCTCCTCCATCTTGTTTCGTTGAGCGGTATCATTTCTTAAATTTCCGTGTTTATCCTCATTTAATCTACCCGGAAATGCGCACTATCCTCCTTCCTTCCACCACCACCCCTTTCTTTCCCTACCCCCCTTACAATTCCCCAACACTTCATGCTTTTAAAAAGGCAATTATGTCTCGATGCTCCCAGGTCTCACCCCGTTCCACCTTTCTCCTGTCCCGTTTTCTGCTGCTCCGTGCAGATGCTTCAACAAGCCATTGCCCTTTCCTTGCTCGATGTACAAGATCAAGAAGGGGGATCAAGTGCTCATGCAACGAACGCTAGTAGATGATGACCAGTATGGTGCCTAGTGGGTAGATAGCATGAATGGATGTACGTAGTGCTGTACAGTAACGCGCATTTTTCTATTTGCAGAAATTGTCAATAAAAGAACGAATGCTTTGCCCTTAATGTTCTGTTGTGTTCCTTGTTCATATGTGTTTTACATGTATGATGCCTAAAGCGATTCACATGTTTGTAATCGCTGTATCGAAGCGAAGATCATTCTCACCCCCACACCTCCTCACGTAGGGCGCGAAAGTTTTGCCACTTTCGAGAGTTAGTGAAACCCGAAAATTTTGAGAGTTTCGAGTTGGTCGATCAGGTAAAGAATGTGGGCTGTGGGTTCTAGCGTTAGCGAGGTAAGCGATATTGTTTGCGATCGAGGTTACAACTGAATCCGGAAACATTACGCTCGACTTGCACTTCAAACTGACAGAACGATCACATCCTCAGTCTCCGCCATGTTTTGCTGTCGTTCCCAGGGCTGTGCTTGCTGAAAGCCATTACAAGCATTACAGGATTCGACTTCGCTGTAGGCGATTTTCCTCAGGTTCAGCCTCGAGCCTCCTGACAGCTCGTTTTCGCCGGTCTCCTTCGCCAGGGCCGTGCCTGCGGGAAAGCTATCACTTTTTTTAGATGATTTGATCGTCGCTATAGTGGTCTTAGCTGTAGGAGTGTTTGCCATAGACTTCTTTGTTCCAAAGCACTTCGGTATAGACGTCTTCGCTTTACTCGATAGAGAATTCACGCTGTAGAGATTGTTGCTAGCTCTGCTACGAAAGTTCCATCAGCATGGTGGGGGGGGCGGTGGTGAACATATACCCGTTAGAGAACTACTCGTTTGGCGTGAAGGAGCCCAAGATCGAATAGGACACGTCTGTGGCGGACCGACTGGCGCGGATGAAACACAAGTGACGGGGGGGGGAAGGGGAAGGGGGGAGGTAGAGTGGGAGGGGGGGAGGAAGGGGGGGAAAGGCAGGGGGAGTGAAGACAAGAGAGCGGAAACAGGGGGAGGGGAAGGACACGTCCGTGGCGCATCGACTGGCGCGGATGAAACACAAGTGACGGGGGGGGGAAGGGATGGGGGGGAAGAGGGAGGGGGGGAGGGAGGAGGAGGGGGGAATGAGAGAGTAGGGAACCTAAGGGGAGGCGAAGGACCCGTCTGTGGCGGACCGAGTGGCGCGGATGAAACACAAGTGAGTGAGAGGGGGCGGGCGGGGGTGTGGCGGGGAGCAAGGGGGTGGCGGGGAAAGGGGGAAACGAGAGAGTAGGGAACGTAGTTGGGGAGGGGGGGAGGAGGGTGAGGGAAGGGGAAGGACCCGTCTGTGGCGGACCGACTGGCGTGGATGAAACACAAGTGAGTGAGGGGGGAATGGGGGGAGGGGGAAATGAAATGGGGAAGGAGGCGGGGTGAGGGGAGGGAACACAGGGAGGGGAAGGGGAAGGACACGTCTGTGGCTGACCGACTGGCGCGGATGAATCACAAGTGAGGAGAGGGAAGGGGGGAGGGAAGGAGGGGCGATGGGGAGGGAGGAGGAGGGGGGAATGAGAGAGTAGGGAACCTAAGGGGAGGGCACGGACACGTCTGTGGCTGACCGACTGGCGCGGATGAAACACAAGTGAGTGAGGAGGCTGGGGAGGAAAGGGGGGGAGGAGGGAAATGGTGGGGGAAGGGAAAAGGGGTGACGGGTGGGAGCAGGCAGGGTGGGGAGAGGGAACGCGAGAGTAGGAACCTAAGGGGAGGGCAAGAACACATCCGTGGCGGACCGGGCGAAGGGGTTGAAGGCAGGGGGATTGGAAATGAGAGAGTACAGGCGGACCGAGTGGTGCAGAGCGGATGAATCACAGGTGAGGGGTATGGGTGGGGGGGAGGGGGGAGGAAGGTAAAGGTGGGAGCAGCAGGCAGGGCGGGGACAGCGGCCGCGAGAGAGTAGGGAACCTAAGGGTAGGGAGAGGAAGGTCAGTGGCCGACCGAGTGGCGCGGATGAATCACAGGTGACGGGTGAGGGTGGGGGGGAGGGGGGAGGAAGGTAAAGGTAGGAGCAGTTAGGGGTGCCGCCACATGCTTTATATTCACTCACTCATATCCACCGCATCACACTACTTACGCACATTCCTTTTAGAGTTAGAAGGGCTGAAGCGCAAGCTCACCAGCAAGCTCACCTGCAAGCTCACCAGCAAGCTCACCTGCAAGCTCACCAGCAAATAGGGTCTGTGCCTGGTTGCATTCATGCACATCTCACCATACCCCGCCCCACCGTCCTACACACCCTCTCATACCCCTCCTCCCCAGAGGTGGAAGGGCTGAAGCGCAAGCTCACCAGCAAGCTCACCTGCAAGCTCACCAGCAAGCTCGGTCCGTGGTATCAGAGCCGCCGCTTGCTTTATCAGAGCCGAGCCGCCGCCGCGAACTCGGTCCGTGTTATCAGAGCCGCTTGCTTTATACTCATCCATGCCCATACTCACTGACCCATCCCCATCGCATCACCTACGTATGCTCATCACACACACCACCCACCCATGCCTTTATCCAGAGGTGGAAGGGGTAAGGTAATGCTCAAGCTGCTCACCAGCAAGCTGGGCCTGTGGTTGCATTCATCCATTCGTGTACATCCCATCCCACCCCATCCCATCCCACCCCATCCCACCCCACCCCAACCCATCCCACCCCACCCCACCCCACCCCACTCCCACGCCCATTCCCGCCAATAGAAGTGAAGGTGCTAAATCGCAAGCTCACCAGCAAGCTCGGTCCAGGTTTTCAGATCCAATGCTTCATATTAACTCATGCCCGTGCCCCTCATCCCCCTTATAGACTTACGCTCATTCCCCCCAGAGGTGGAGGGGCTAAGGCGCAAGCTCACCAGCAAGCTGGGTCCGTCGGTGTCCACACTGCCCGTGCCTGACTGGCAGGTGCGGAGCCCTGGGGGTTAGGTTCGGAAAACAGGGTCGGAGCCTTGAGGGTTAGGTTTGATAGGCAGGTAGAAGGCAGGTTCGGATCAGGTTTGCCGAGTGAAGGTGGGAGGTGGGGATTCTAGATGCTGGGCCGTCAATATCCTGCGGCCTGCCTGTCAGTGATGATAGTGTTGTTTTGACAGGCAGGACATTGGCAACAACCTCTCAAAACAACACTTTTATCACGTCAACCGTCAATGTCCTGCCTGTCAGTAGCTGACTGGCAGGTGCGGGGGGTAAAGAGGCAGATGACCTTTGAGCCGACTAAAACAACTTTTGACTTTTTGAGTCGACTAGAAAAACTTTTGACTTTTGAGTCGACTCAAAGGGTTTGCCGGGTTAAGGTGGGAGTTGGGGATACTAGGTGCTGTGCCGTCAATGTCCAGTCCTGCCTATCAGTAGGCTTGTCAGTAGGCCTGCCTGCCAGCTGGCTGGCAGGTGAGGGGGGTTAAGAGGCAGCGTCGAAGGTTAGGCTTGGGAATCACAGTTGGGAGGTAGGGCTGGTAGGGAGGCCGGTGTGGGAATGTAGGTTTGAAAGGTTGGGCGGGGCAGGTGGGAGAGGGCGTGGGGGCGTGGGCGTGGAGGTTTGAACTTTGAAAGCTTAACGGAAGTAGCCAGGCAGAAGTGAAGTGGCTACTGGCAAGAGCAAGGTGACTTTTGAGTCGACTCAAAAGTCACCTCGTTTTGAGTCGACTCAAACGTCACCTCGAGAGCGCGTGGGGGCGTGGGCGTGGAGGTTTGAAAGCTTAACGGAAGTAGCCAGACAGAAGTGAAGTGGCTACTGGCAAGAGCAACCACCACCACTAGTGTTGCCAGAAGTGAAGTGGCTACTGGCAAGAGCAACCACCACCACTAGTGTTGCCAGAAGTGAAGTGGCTACTGGCAAGAGCAACCACCACCACTAGTGTTGCCAGAAGTGAAGTGGCTACTGGCAAGAGCAACCACCACCACTAGTGTTGCCAGAAGTGAAGTGGCTATTGGCAAGAGCAACCACCACCACTAGTGTTGCCAGAAGTGAAGTGGCTACTGGCAAGAGCAACCACCACCAATAGTGTTGCCAGAAGTGAAGTGGCTACTGGCAAGAGCAACCACCACCACTAGTGTTGCCAGAAGTGAAGTGGCTACTGGCAAGAGCAACCACCACCACTAGTGTTGCCAGACGTGAAGTGGCTACTGGCAAGAGCAACCACCACCACTAGTGTTGCCAGAAGTGAAGTGGCTACTGGCAAGAGCAACCACCACCACTAGTGTTGCCAGAAGTGAAGTGGCTACTGGCAAGGGCAACCACCACCACTAGTGTTGCCAGAAGTGAAGTGGCTACTGGCAAGAGCAACCACCACCACTAGTGTTGCCAGAAGTGAAGTGGCTACTGGCAAGAGCAACCACCACCACTAGTGTTGGCAGAAGTGAAGTGGCTATTGGCAAGAGCAACCACCACCACTAGTGTTGCCAGAAGTGAAGTGGCTACTGGCAAGAGCAACCACCACCACTAGTGTTGCGAGAAGTGAAGTGGCTACTGGCAAGAGCAACCACCACCACTAGTGTTGCAAGACGTGAAGTGGCTACTGGCAAGAGCAACCACCACCACTAGTGTTGCCAGACGTGAAGTGGCTATTGGCAAGAGCAACCACCACCACTAGTGTTGCCAGAAGTGAAGTGGCTACTGGCAAGAGCAACCACCACCACTAGTGTTGCCAGAAGTGAAGTGGCTACTGGCAAGAGCAACCACCACCACTAGTGTTGCCAGAAGTGAAGTGGCTACTGGCAAGAGCAACCACCACCACTAGTGTTGCCAGAAGTGTTGGCCGGCGAGAAAAGGTGAACCTTATTTTGAGGCGCCTCAAAATACACCTCACTGCACGTGGGCGTGGAGGTTTGAAAGCTTAACGGAAGTAGCCAGGCAGAAGTGAAGTAGCTACTGAGGTGACTTTTGAGTCGACTCGACTTTTGAGTCGACTCAAAAGCCACCTCGTTACTATGGCGTGGGGGCGTGGGCGTGGAGGTTTGAACTTTGAAAGCTTAACTGAAGTAGCCAGGCAGAAGTGAAGTGGCTACTGGCAAGAGCAACCACCACCACTAGTGTTGCCAGAAGTGTTGGCCGGCGATAAACCTAGCAACTACCACGGAAATGCTCTCTATTTTGGCCTATTTTTTTATTTCCCTGCCAGGTAGGTGCGCGAGTGCTCTGCAGTGTGGTGGCGACCCAACTTCTAAACCCTCATGTACCCCTACTGGCCTCCCCTTCATGTACCCCTACTGGCCTCCCCTTCATGTACCCCTACTGGCCTCCCCTTCATGTACCCCTACTGGCCTCCCCTTCATGTACCCCTACTGGCCTCCCCTTCATGTACCCCTACTGGCCTCCCCTTCATGTACCCCTACTGGCCTCCCCTTCATGTACCCCTACTGGCCTCCCCTTCATGTACCCCTACTGGCCTCCCCTTCATGTACCCCTACTGGGCGAGTGCTCTGCGGTGTGGTAGCGAGTCGCGACCCAATGCTTATGCGCTACCCTTCCCCCCCTTCACTCTCTCCCATGATCCCATCCCGTCTCCCCCTTCGCCCTGTCAGGTGGGCGAGTGCTCTGCGGTGTGGTGGCGAGTTGCGACCCAATGCTTATGCGCTACCCTTCCCCCCCTTCACTCTCTCCCATGATCCCATCCCGTCTCCCCCTTCGCCCTGTCAGGTGGGTGAATGCTCTGCGGTGTGGTGGCGACCCAACTTCGAGACCCTCATGTATCCCTACTGCCCTCGCCCCAATCATCCTCCCCCCCACAGTACCACAGTGCGGTGCAGTGTGGTGTGCTGTGGTGTGCAGTGGTGTGGTGTGATGATGACTCATATACCTCGCGTCTACCCTCCCCACTACCCATTACCCACTTCTCGCCCTGCCAGCTAGGCGAGTGCTCTGCAGTGTGGTGGCGACCCAACTTCGAAACCCTCATGTATCCCTACCCTACTGCCCTCCGCACATCCCCAAACCCAAGGTTGGTGTGCAAAGGTTGATGAAAACACACAAGAATTCTAGAGAAATGGTGTTTCAGGTCAGGCGCCTCTGTAGCATTTTGAGGCGCCTCAAAATACACCTCCCTTTAGAATTGCTGCTCTTCCACTATGAGCGAAGGCCCTCAGGTCAGGCGCCTCTGTAGCAACTTGGAGACCCTCATGTTCCCCTACTGCCCTCCGCACCGCAAGGTAGGTTGGTGCATGGTGTGGCAAGGTAGGTTGGTGCATGGTGTGGCAAGGTAGGTTGGTGCATGGTGTGGCAAGGTAGGTTGGTGCATGGTGTGGCAAGGTAGGTTGGTGCATGGTGTGGCAAGGTAGGTTGGTGCATGGTGTGGCAAGGTAGGTTGGTGCATGGTGTGGCAAGGTAGGTTGGTGCATGGTGTGGCAAGGTAGGTTGGTGCATGACGTGGCAAGGTAGGTTGGTGCATGGTGCACCCCAGGTGCCACTTGCTAACTGCCATGTGCCTCGTCACTCCTCTCCTCACAACAGGAGATGAAGCTCTTTGTGGTCCCCCACACCGAGCAGCAGTACTTTGGAGTTCCCAAGAATCTCAAGCTTCCTTTTCAGCTGACTGGGTGTGTGCGTGGGCGTGGCAAGGATATACACATGTAAGTTCACTTGTGAAGAATCTGAAGCTGCTGGCGGTGCCGCTGTTTGGAGCTATATGGCAATGTGCAGGTGAGGAGAATGGATGGGGTGTTGTGGGGCGTTAGCATGTCTATAAGGACATTAGAATCTCAAGCTGCTGGTGGCGCCACTCCTATGACAATGTGCAGGTGAGAGGGATGGATGGATGGGTGGGTGTGTGCATGGGCGTGGATAGGCACAATTCTACTCACAGGCCAAGCGGTGCCGCTACTGGAGCTCTATGACAATGTGCAGGTGCGGGGGATGGATGGGTGGATGGATAGGTATGTGTGTGCGTGCAGCAAGCGTACGCACAAAACAACTCACTGGCCAACAATTTCAATTTGCTGGCGGTGTCGCTACTGGAGCTCTATGACAATGTGCAGGTACGGGGGATGGATGTGGGTGGGTGAGCTTGTCTGAAAGCTGATCTGCTGAGGGCCTCAAGTTGCTGGTGGTGCCTCTGTAGGACCTCTATGATAATGTGCAGGTGAGGGTGGTGTGTGGGTGTGTGTGTGCCTCAAATGTGTGTGCCTATGGTAAGGATAGTCACATGTAGATTCACATGTGAGGAATCTCAAGCTGCTGGCGGTGCCTCTGTTGGAGCTATATGATAATGTGAGGGTGGTGTGGATGGTGGGTGGGAATGTGGTTGAGTGTGACTGCAAATTGTGTTACCGTGTATCATTGTGCCTCCAGCATATGCAGCCATTCACTTGTACAGAGTTGACTTTTGAGTCGACTCAAAAGTCAACTCGGTTTGAAGGTGGGAATGTGGTTGAGTGTGACAGCAAAATGTGTTACAGTGTATCATTGTGCCACCAGCATATGCAGCTATTCACCTGTAAAGAATCTATAGCTGCTGGTAGGTTTATATGCCAATGTCAATGGTGTTATTCACTTGTGTATATGCCAATGCCAATGTGCCATTATTATTCACTCGTTTACATGACAATGTAAGTGTGCAAGTGCAGTGGATGGGTGTGTGGTGATCAACAATATGGTCCCTTGATTCAACCGCCATTCACTTTCTCCTTTCCCTCCCTCTCTTCCGGTATCTCTTCCCTTCATTCTCAGCGTTATGGGCCAGTCATCTCCCCCATTCCGCTGCAACTCTCGAGATTCACTTTCAACCTCATTCACGACTCGTGATGACTCAGCAGCAATGACTCTGACTCAGCAGCGACCTAGCTGACTCACGGGAGTTTAGGGCCTAGAGATCACCTCTGCTGACTCAGCATAGATGACACATGGTGCTGTGTCGACAACCAACGAGGATTTGTTCATACTTAGCAATTGTATTCTGCAGCAGCTGCCTGGTCACTAGGTGTCAGGACTTCAGGAGTCAGGAAGGCAGCCCCTTCACTAAAACATTTGCTTGTTGACTTTTGAGTCGACGAAAAGTCACCTTGGTGTCAGGAGGAAGGCAACTTCTCCACTACATTAGAAACATTTGCTTGTTAAAGAGCAGACACTAATTTAAACAGAGGCAAAACCTGGCCCATCATATCATACCACTAGTTCAATAACTTCATTAAACTGGAGAAAAAATAATTGAGTCGTCTACACTGGAGCACCCTACTACACACACCCATGCACACAAGAAACAAAGACGAGTTACAGTCAAAAAGTATGATGCTTTGCTGCTGCTGCTGCTGCTGCTGCTGCACCACTTGAGCTTTCTCATTCACTCATGCACACGCACCCACCCAACCAACCACGTCGCCAGCTTCCAGCTTCCATCTTCCCTCCCTCCCGACAGCCTGTCAGATATGCTTCAATCAAGCTACTCTTCCTCCTCCCACTTCTGCCGTAACAGCTGGTGCCACCATTGCTGCTGCTGCTGCTGCTGCATTTAGAGCTTTCTAATCCAGTCATGCACCGCCACCCACCCAACCACGTCGTCAGCTTCCCTTCCCCCCCTCCGTCAGTCTGTCAGATTTTTTTCAATCAAGCTACTCTTCCTGCCCCTCCTCCCGCTTCTGCCCATTGCTGCTGCCGCCGTTGATGCTGCCGCTGCTGATTCTACTGTTTCTGCTGATGCTGATGCTGCTGCTGCCGCTTCTATTGCTGCTGCTTCTGCTGCTGATTCTGCTTCCGCTGATGCTGATGCTGATGATATATCACACCACAATAAACAGCAGAGAATGTATGGCACTGCAATCCTGCACCTACACTCCTCCTCACGGCCCCATTCCGAGTGCCACTTCCCCGTGCATAGCAGGCTGGTAATATCAGAGTAAAGCCCATGCACATGCACATGCAGTCACATACACGCACATGCAGTCACATACATGCACATGCACATGCACGCGCACATGCACATGCACAAAAGCACATGCGCCCACACATGCATGTATAGCCCCACTTCCCTAGACACTACTGTCTCTGTACCCCAGTCCATTTATCCACGCCTTGTTTCCCCCCAGGATCGCGGATGTGTGGCATGCTCCCATTGGTCGGGCCAAATCCACAACTGGGATCTATGTTGCTGCTTCTGCCGCCATGTATGCTGGTTGACTGTTACAGAGCTGGATTTTTTTGCTTGGGCAAGGCCTCTTTAGAAGCACGCAACTTGGTGCTTGAACTGTTGCCTGATTTCTCATCTGTGAAGGCAACCGTTCGCCTCCTTGACGGTCCTGATTTATCCTCGTCATAAGCAGACGCTTCCTCTGCTGCAAGTACGGGAGATTTTGGATAGTGCCGAAACTGCTCCAAGCCAGCTTCTGACGGTGTGTCTATCGAAGTTCGGCGACTGGAGGAAACCGATGCGGCTTGTAACGAGCGAGCGGAGAAGTTAATAGGGGAGCGAATGGGAGAGCGGTTGGGGGTGCGGTTGGGGTTGCTTCCTCTCCCTCCTTTGAAACACTGTACTGTAGCAGCTACAGGACTGTCGATATTAAGAAACTCGTTATCCTCAGTAGCAAGGTCTCCGTATAAGTCTTCATCTTTCCCCACGTAAGAAGAACTTATGGATTGCGGACTGTAGTTATCGCTCTGCTGGTGACTGTCACGAGTGTGCTTATAGTGAAGCCCGCTCGGCACTTTCATGCTCAGGGCCTTTTTCATCCACGCCGCGCGCTGCGGCTGACGCGCCTTCAGAACATCCTTTTGATTGGCCGATTCCAACCCAGCCTCGTTAAAGTCAGCATCCACGAAACTCAAATCTTCGTCCGACTTTTCGCTGGCGCTGCTGCGACTGTCGCTAGTGTGCGTGTGGCGACGAGTGAAGGGGGCGTATGGCGGAAGATCGCGTTCGTTTCCACTTCCCCCCGAACCAGTCCCCCTGGATAACACTCGCGCACCCCCCAGTTGCGCTGAAGTGCGGCTGCGCGTAAATAACCCCCTTCCGCCTTCCCCTTTTCCTCCCGCCTCTGAACCACCTCCCCCGCCGCTTCTTCCCCACCGTCCCCCCCAAGAATGATCGCCACCGTCCGATTCCCGGTTACCCGTATTCGTCGATTCCAATCGTGGCACCGCTTCCCCCTTGCTGCTTCCGCGCCGAAACCAAGAACCCCCGCTTCTACCGCCATCCTCCACACCATTTAATTCCGCTTTCAAGCTCACGCTCTTTTTCATTCCGCGAGACGATTTGCTTTTCGACAAAACTGTCCCGCTTCGGACTAGAGCAGACTTAGTTACGGACCTACTTAAGCCCCGCGACGCGTCCTCTTCCTCAAGCGCCTCCACGCTGTGCACGCGTCGCACCGGGGGAGACGCAGGAGGGAGCCCCGCGCCTCGTCTACAATGGTTTCCGCTTTCGCCGCCGCCAAAACCGCTTCCAGGTGACAGCAAATCGGCATCGCTGCCACCGCTGTGGGGGCTGTCGAATCTGCCGAAGCTGTCGCTGCCGAAGCTGTCGCCGTAGCTACCGTTTCGGTACAACTCGCCACCCCCGACGGTTTTCGCTCGGTTGAACTCGCTCACGTTGAACTTTCGCGCGGATTTGTGCGAAAACGACGCGGATTTCGCGGCGGAAATCACGCACGTCTCTGCCGGCTTCGCGACAAGCTCCAGCACGCGAGGTGGCGCGGTGGCAGGGCTCCCGGGACGCGCCGCGAGGGACGACCGCGGATCGAGTCGGCGGAAGGTCGCTCCACGGGCGAGGCGCGTGGGCTTGCGAAGCGTCGGGAAGACTAGCTTCCAGACGCGATGCGCGTCGATTAAGACTGTATCCGCGTCCTTATCCTCCTGGAGATCCCAATCTGGTGATCCAAATAGGGGGAAGAGGGGGTTGGGGGGAAGAAGTGGATGGTGCAATCAGGAATGTACGAGGTGGGTCCGCGGATGTGGGAAAGAGGAAGGTGGAGCGTTGAGGAACGCGTACATTTGGTGGTGTGCCCGCGGAGAAGGAGGAATTAGGGTTGGGTGGGCGGGGGAAAAGGGGGAAACGGTCGGCGGGAAAGGAAAGGGATCGAGGGGAGAGGGAAAAGAGACGGCGCAGTGAACATTATACGGGGTGGGAACGGGAGAAGCAGGGGAAAGAAAGGAAAGCGGGGGAAAGCGGAGGAAACGGGGACACGGCGGATACAAACGGGCCGCATAGCGAACTTACCGTCTACCCGATTAGAGAAACCGCTTCTAACGGCCCACCGTTCCACCTCCTCTTGCAACTCCTCCCTCTCCGCAATCTGGTCCTCCCCGATCGTCGCAACTCCAAAGCCGTTATAACCACTCGCCTCGGGAATCATTAACGGGTCATCCGCCGCAATCACAATCAGCCTATAAGAAACTTCCGAGCCGCCCATATTAGGTCGCTGCACCGGCAGCGCCGCTAGCGGAATCACGCCGTACGTATCCCCGATTTCTCGCGGAGCAGACCCTATCTCGATAGCCTGTATCGGAGCGTAATCGAACAGCGACGCGAAGCCGTCCGACGATCCCGCGGCGCTTCCGCCGCCCGATTCATTCCCCGCACTTGCGGAGCCAATGGCGCTTTGCGGAGCCGGTTTGCTGGTTTTCCCTGGCGAACCGCCGTCATTCGCTGCGTCAGCGACGGCTCCGCAAGCGAGCACGCAGGTCTGCGGGAGTATGCCCATGTTCCACGGCACGTTCTCGTCCTCGTCGAACTCCGTCGCGCCGGTCAGCAGCAGCCGCCGCCGCCGCACGCGGAAGGCGGAGCTGCTAGCCTTCCCCGCGCCTCCGCCGCCGCCGGCGCCAGGTTCCGGGGAGCGCGTGCGCGTGCAGACGAAATTGCAGAGGTTGTCGGGCGGCGGGGGGGTGGTGGAGAAGGATGACGTGTACGTGGGGATGACGTCACCGTACGATGCCGCGTCGGGGGAGGTGGGGGAGGCGGCTGAGGAAGAGGGGGGAGGCGGAAAGAGGAGGATATCGTGCCACAAGGCTTTGACGGTGCCGTCAGCTATTAGCGGCAGGATGTTGCCCGAAGGGGTGGCCATTGCGAGTCCGCGCGTCGGCTTGATTTAGCTGCGTTTCTAACGGAATGGATTGCTACGGACTGCAGTAGGAAACCTAGTTATGGGAAGCTGCGAGAAAACCTAAGGTAGGACGGCTTGTTCTAGGAAAAAAACTACTTCAGAGAAAAGAAGCTGACGGGATGGGATTTTGATTGACACCGTGACTTGGAACTACAAGCTGAAATATGCAAGGAGTT